TTATCATATTTTAGTTTTAGTTTTGGTTACAGTTTGGTGTGATGAAGTGAATGTTTAAAAGTGATATTCACAGTGCAGTTGCCCTTTACATTACCATATTATCATGCAATTTACAATGTGTATCAAAATTCCTTTATAGTGTTTTCTGTTGTTTGTTTAACTTTCATATTTTATTTAAATTTAAAATTAAATGCCACCAGAAAAACCAAGAACTGTTAGTGGCTGGAGGGAGCGAACGTGACAGCTTGCATTAACCTCCAAATGGAACATATGACAGATACAGAGTGGCAGTCCTACCGTGGTGATACATCCAACTTTGGACAAATGAACATAAAAGTTAACATTGTGGTGACTTACATTTTAAGCATGAAACGACTGGTCGAGACGGTTAAATTTTTACTCTTTGTTCCCATACATGAAAGGTTTGTTTTTTTGCAGAATTCACCACTTTCAGGAAATTATTTGGAAACTCCCAATCCAAAAACAGGGATGTGAGATTTAGATCCCTAAATTATTTGAATAGGCCTACGATTCGTCAATTCAATTCCGCCTCTTCCATAGTCAGCTCTGAAGCTCATTTAGATGAGAGGATCACATAGGGGATCTACAATTTTAATATCCATTACACGTTTTGCCACCGAGTAGGTCCTCCCTCTAATTCCTTGAGAAGGTCATGATCCTGAGTATGCACAGATGAAGTACGACGTTGGCCCTGGAACCTAACAGAGCATCAATCAACACAATTCAAACAAAAAACGCAATTTAAAAATGTGTGGGAAATAGGGTCACAATGCCAACCCACTTGCCCAATCTTTTAAGACTAAGGCAGAAATTTGTAGGAACGAGAGCTCCAAGTAGTCGAGTAAATCCGTACGAGAACCCTAAAAAAATTGCTTTAAATTGTTTTATTGGTTATTTTGACTTAGAATTATGTGTATTTTCCAGGAAAAAAGTCTAATGAAATCGGAGTCTCAGAAGTCCAAAATTCAAGATGGCGTCCAAGATTTTGGTCAAATGTGTCCGTTAGCACAATAACTCAAGCAAAAATTATCCGAATTCGATGAAATTTGGTACAAACATGCTACTACATTTGGTACTACATTTATTTGAACGAGTTCACGAACCAGCATGATCGGACCATGGGAACAGGGGTTTATGGGGGGTTTTATGGGGTAAAAATCGGTTTTCCCCATTTTTGACCCTAAAAACGTAACATTTTGCAATTTATTTCAAAACCATTTTAGGGCTCAGAATAAAAAAACAATTTAGTACATTGAAGCGTTGTCATGGGCCTAATACCTAGTTACGGAGAAAATTCCAAAAAAATTTAAATTTAAAATTCCTATGGTATTCTTACGGAGAATAAGAAAACTTGTTGTAGTTAGCCTGTATATGAAAATATTTTTATCAAATTTGGAAAATGCATTTGTTTTATACTAAACTATTTAACATTTTACTAAAAACACTTTTTTACCCTCCCTGTCGCAGCAAACCGAAGTACTAGTTAAAGTATTGCCATTTAAATAGGGAATAAATGTGATATTTTTAATGTGATATTTTAGTGTAAATTCAATCAGGCAAATTGAAATTCGCTTAGGGTGCAGGTTTGCTGCTGCTGGAGTATTTTAATTTATGACTAATTTTTGCTTGAAAAATCCAATAATAGGTCTTAAAATAAAGATCACAAGCTTGCTAAAATGCAACATACATATTTTATTTACTTAAATAAATATCTATACATTTTTAGCCCGAAAGGATTTTTTAGATAAGAATAGGCTTGTATTAATTGGGAATCTGAGCTACCATAAAGCCACATTTCAACCCAATCCAACCAGTAGTTAATGCGTGATTGAACTTCAAACAAACAAACTGTCACATTTATAACATTAGTAATAGTATAATATAGTCGCACTTTCTTGTGGTTAGTAGTAAAGCATTATACAAATAATAATTCATAATTTTCATCAAGTTCACATTGTTCTCCAAGCTGGTAAAGTCCACAAGCTGTAGTACAAGGTAACCCATACTTTGTTGCAGGAGCATTGCAAATTCTTGCAGCCAGTAGAGTAGTTGCAGTGAACAAATCTTAAAAGAATCTCTGGAGCGGCACTTTGGGTCATCGAGTCTTTTTATTGTTTATTTTTTTCCAGCAGAGCATCTCAACATTATTTTTTTGCATTAATTGAAAAAAACTCTTCAAATGAATTTAATAGTTCTTTTCTTTTTTTGGCAGTTGATTCACTAGATTTATGAAATAATTTTGGTTTATTTTACTTTTAAATTTGGTAGGAAAATGATTCAAAAATTTTGATCCCATGAAGGTTTCCTTTTTTAGTTTTTTCATAGAAGCTGAGATTGATAAATTTATATAAATTTTATTTCTAGTTTCATATGAATGGACATTTTTTTTATAATTTCCCAATTTTGTTTTAAAATTCAGGGACAAATTAATAGATATATTTCTGACTTACTACCGCGAAATGGGGAGTTGCCTTCATAATAATTAATAATAATTTTAACCTTCACATACATTTGGCTCTCAAAATGGAAACTATAACAGGATTCGTAAGATTACAAAACAAATCTTCAATTTTTGTGTATATTCAAGATTTGTGTCTAGGTTAAGCCCAAAAATTGAGTATGCTTAAGATCTCCTATTTTTTTTACGGGATAGAAATGGGATTTTCCCATTTTTCACTGTAAAAAGTTGCAATTTATTTCCAAACCATTTTGAAGAGATCATAAAAACAAATAATTTAGTATACAGAAGCGTTGTTGTATGCCTAACGGTTACGGAGAAAATAAAAAAGTGTACATTTAAAATTACCATGTTATTCTTATGGAGAATAAATAATGTCTTAAAGCTTGCTTGTCTATGGAAATATTTTAGGGAAATTTGGAAATTTTAGCCATATTGAAAAAAAACCCGATTTTCGAGACTCCGATTTTATTAGACTTTTAGTTGGGTATTATTTCACATACTTATTGGAAATGTAAACCATCAAAAAGTCTTTTAAAGCAATTTTTTTAAGGTTAAGGGGTTTTATTTCATATCTTGACTAGACTAAATTTGATCTAAATAACTGTAAACATGAACAACAATACGATTGGAATCATATGAAGTCAAAAAAACATCTGATTAACAACAGTATTGCCAAAATAAACCTCTAAACATTATACATGTAATTATTTTTGTAATTAACTATTTGTGTTTTATTACTTAACTACAATTGAACGAGCGGAAACGAATCCTGTGGAGTTTAAAAACAGCTGATTAACAACAGTATTACCAAAATATACCTGTTAACTTTTACATATAATTTTTTTTATAAACTACTTGTGAACTATTACAAAATACAAGAATTGAATGAGCTTAAAAAAAAGTATTGAAACGAATTGTATTACTTGACTCAACACAGAATTCGCTTATGACAAATATGTGTGTGTTTGTATCTGTGGAGACGATACAGGCCACGATGAATTGTTATCCAAGCGTACCAACTAACAATTAAGATATGGTAATTTTCAGAATTCCCATAAGAATTACATAGTTTTTTTTTATAACTATCCCACCACCACTTAAGATAATTTAATGATTAAGAATACTAAATTGCATATATTTTTTAAGGATTTACAACATGGGTATAGCACAGACTAGGGATAAAAAGTTTTGTTCCCTATTGTGACCAAAGTTGAAATAAGTTATTTACTACTAACAACTTAAGACAGATTTTTACCTATTTTCAACCCCATATTATTTGTTGTATATTTTTTATCTTAAATCATGAATAGTTGATAGATAATACATACAGTTTCAAAGGTTTGTACCAAATTCGGTCTAAATTGGAGGTTCAGAAGAAAATTTACAGGGAAAGTAGTAAGGTTTATTATTTTTTTAATTTTTGGACGCCATATTGAAAAAACCCAATTTCCGAGACTCCGATTTTATTAGACTTTTAGTATGTTATTTAACATACTTTTTGGAAATGAAAATCATCAAAAAACCTTTTAGAGCAATTTTTTTAAGGTTAAGGGTGTTTTTTTCATATCTTGACTAGACTAAAGGAGTCAAGTGAGATTTTTATGTACATAATAAGAGACAAAAGAAGTAACTTCCCTCTCTACAATTATGCTACCTGTTAGATGTCGTATTTTTAAAGCTGAAAACCGAGCACCACCTGTCCAAATAAATCATAAAGGAACATTCCTTTACATAACAATAAAGGACATAACATAACATAAAGGAAAGTTCCTTTACACAACATAAAGCAATAACATTCCTTTATGTTATTCATAAAGGAACATTTCCTTTATTATGAAATTATGTTAAACGCGTATTCATTCTAGATCAGTCGTTAGATCCACTTGCTTGCCCTCTCATGTTCCCAACCGGAGATTTTGGTTGGGGCCCCTAATTCATAAAAAGGAACATATCGTAGAAATAATTTAACAATGCAATAAAATGTGTCATACTGGTTGGCATCAAGAGATGTATTTAGCTTACTACATTAGGTCTGAAAAGCTCACTTTACAGTGTGTGGTTGTCATCTACTTGCTCATAGAGTGCACCCGCCTACTGTACATAAGAGATAACCAAAGCAGTGTGAGAGCGGATCTATATTTCAATATTGTAGATAACTTATATAATTTTTTACAACATATTTCAAATTTCTATGATCAGTCATAGAAATTACTTTAGCGTGACTCTTTGATTGAGCTCTTGCTGTTTATGTTTTTGTTCTATACTCTCTTATTATAAGGAGCAGTTTTGCTCGATTTCGAGCAACGGGTTATCTATTTATGTTTATTACTGGTTATGTTTATTGATTTTTTATGGACATTTTATATTGATGGTATGTTACGTTATGCATGACAACAATTAGTATCTTAGTTTTATAAAATCACTCTTGACGCCATTCCTGTATTGATGTACTGAAATAAATAAAGTTATATGAATTGAATAGAATAATTGCTTATAATGTTTTACTTTTAACTTCCAGCTGAGGGAGACTGATGCAGAGCTCAACCGCAGTTCCCGTCTTGTCCAGGCGATAATCGCTCGCTCGCTTCAACACAGATTTATTCTTCTTCTCATCGGTGTCGGATTTTTTCTGGTGGTCGCTGTAGGAATCTACATTTCTGCTACCAGGGAGAGTTAAAACCCTTAATTTCCTCTTAGTTATTGCCCAGAGGGTGAATTTCCATTCCAAAGATTGTACAGTTTCCAAACCACGCTTTATAAGTTTCCACTGGTTAAGCTAGTATTTTTAGTTTAGGAATAATATTAATTTCAATAAAGGCTAATATGTTGTCAGACTATTTAAAATAGTTAATTTAGTACTTCTACTTAAAAGGTTTTCAATTTATTGTTTATGCATATCCTAAAGTATTAGGTATTTATCTGTGAAAAACTGCCAAATCAAGGCTTACCAATTATTTTTCATTGAAATTAAATTTAATGGTTAATGAGTATGATATGTATGTATGAGTAGGTAATGATATGAATGAGTAATATAATATTTTCTGTTTAAAACCTTGTTTTGCGATATCTTGGGGCCTTTTTAACATTTAAAATACATTAAATTAGTCAGAATGGACGAGCTAGTGGAGATCGTCAACCAGCTACAGGACGTGTTTCTAGTCAGTGGTCAAGTCGTCGACCTGCCCCAGGTGGTTGTGATAGGCTCTCAGAGTGCAGGCAAGAGCTCCGTCCTGGAACATCTAGTGGGAAAGTCCTTCCTACCCAGAGGTGTCGGGGTTGTGACTAGATGTCCTCTTGTCCTGCAGCTTTTACATTCGTCTACTGAAGTCGTTGAGGAATACGCCATCTTCCAACACGACCAGACAAAAGTCTTCACTGATTTTAACCTGATTTCTAAAGAAATACTAGATCAAACCGTGAAGCTCGCTGGAAGCAACAAAGGGATCTGTAATGCTCCAATCACATTGAAGATTTACTCCAACTCCTTTTTAAATCTCACATTGGTAGATCTTCCCGGGTTGACAAAAATACCTGTTGGTGACCAGCCAGACGACATTGAAAAGCAAACCAGGAATTTACTGCTTGAATACTCTAGAAACCCAAATAGTATAATTCTAGCTGTGACTCCTGCGAATGCGGACCTGACGACGAGCGAGAGTCTAGCATTGGCTCGCGAGGTGGATCCTGAAGGTGAGAGGACTCTGGCGGTCATCACCAAGCTGGATCTCATGGACGAAGGCACAGATGCGTGGGACATCCTGTCTGGGAAAATCATACCGGTCAAACTGGGTATAATTGGTGTCGTCAACCGATCACAACGAGACATCATGGAAAACAAATCCATGAAAGAAGCATTGAAAGAAGAAAAGGAGTTTTTCCACAAGCATTACAAAGCAGTTGAACGCTTCCACGGAACACCCTACTTGACGAAGACTGTTCAGAGAATCTTAACCGAACACATAAAAAGTTGTTTGCCAAAACTTAAAACTAAAGTCAAAGAAAAGTTGTTAAAGAAACAAGAAGAACTCAAAGCTTTGGGTGATGTGAGTTTGGACAAGCATGTGTTGTTGATTGATATCATCTCAAAATTTTCACAAACGTTTTGTTCTATTATCAAAGGTGACACGGATAACATTCAGACCACTGAGCTGTCTGGAGGGGCGAGAATCAATTACGTGTTTCAAGAGAGTTTTGTCCAAGCGCTGCAGAAGATGGATGCACTATCTGGGTTGTCTGAAGAGGCCATCTTGACCGCTACCCAGAATGCATCAGGTGTGAATCCCGGGTTGTTTGTTCCCGAGGTGACGTTTCAGCTGTTAGTGAAGCAACAGATCCAACGTTTTCGTCCACATTGTCTCACATGTGTTGACCATGTCAATGAAGAGCTTTGTAGAATTGTCCAGACTTGCGCCTACGATCCTTTGATCGGACTTGAGAAGTATCCAACCCTGCAGAAAGAAGTCATCCGTGTCGTAACACAAATTCTCCGCAACCGACTCCCCATTGCAAACATAATGGTTGACAGCTTCATAGACGTCCAATTAGCCTACATTAACACAAGACACCCGAACTTTGACACTAACCGTTTGAGTGGGGAAGAGCCAATAGCTTTGGAAGAAGAGAACTGCATAGCACGCAAACCCACAATAAAGTTCTCGGAGAAAAAAAAAGAAATCACTGAGAAAAAAGAAGAAATCTCGGAAGAAAATCGGGAATATCAACTAATTCAAAAATTGATTCAAAGCTATTTTTCCATCATCCAGATCACCGTTCAAGACACAGTTCCGAAGATCATCATGCATTCCTTCGTGAACTTTGTGATCAAGTATCTGCACAGCGAGTTAATAGCTCAACTGTACAAGGGCAACATTTCCGACTTGATGAAGGAATCGCAAGATGTCGTGGAAAAGCGCCAAGAGCTTGTAACTATTGTTGCTCAGCTAGAGAAGGCCTATGGGATTTTGACCTTTATTAAACCGAGCACAAAATTGCATGTTGTGACAGAAGACGTCTGAAAAATATCATTTGTTTACTTTGCTTGATGTAGCTTTTGTTTTGAGGATCTTTACATTTTAGTAAGTTTTTTTGTTCATTTTTATGTTGCACAAACAATAAGTGCAGGTTATTGTTAAGTAGTGAATGAATACAATTAAGGCCTTCTGCTGTTAAACATATTGTTTGAATGTGATTATTTTGATTTGAGACTTGCTAAGATTCATTGAGCATCGTGTGCAATAATTTAGTCAACCTGTGAAATTAATTGATACGTAAAACTTAGTCTTTATAACACGATAAAATTTATAAAATACCACTGCAGCAGCAAACCTGCAGGCTTAACGATTTTCTATTTGCCTGATTTGATTTTCATGATAATATTCCCTTTTTTAAATGTCAGATTTATCCCATTTTCAAATAAAATAAGATTTTATAAGTAACTTGGTTTCTTGCTATAGTGAAGGTAATAAAGTGGGCTTTTAAAAAATTTCAATTATTTAGCATGGAATAAAAAGATTTTATCAAAATATATCCATAAACAAGCAAAGAATATAAAATAACTCATTATTTATAAGAACTACGTGGGAGTTTCAAATTTACAGTTTCAACTTTTCTCAGTATTCATTTAACCATTTAGCGTACAACAACATCTCAATATACTAAATTATTTGTTTTTTCTCTCTACAAAATTATTTAGAAAGAAGTTGAAAAGTTTGATGTTTTAAAATGGGAAGCCACCATTTTTACCTCATAAATCCCCATAAAACCACATCCCCATAGTCACTTTAAAAAGTATGTTACCAAAATTAAAACCATTTCTAATTAAAATACCTACCTTCGTTTGGTTGCCATTTCAGATGAAAGTATTTAAAAAGTATTAAACTTAGGCCTACTTATGTATTTCCTCTACTCCTTCCCCTAAGATTAACGCATTAATATCATTTTAAAACAATTTATTAGAAAATTATTTTTCCTCAAAACTCTTTCAAAAAATAGTATTTCACCAAATCAGTATTTTTGGAAAAATATTCCACAGAAAATTACGTTTATTCTTCTCATAAATTGTGTGTATTTTATTTTTTGTTTTAAGAGTGATTTTAATGTGCCACATTTATCAATATTTTATAATATTATTGTGTTATCTTGTATAAGTTGTACACTTTACAATTAGTAAGCTGTATACCTTAGATTAATTTGAATAATCTTCATTCAATACATCTTAATCTATGATTTGTATATCGTAACATTCCTTACCATAGTATTTCATAATGTATCTTGACTGTTTTGATTGAACATCCTACTTAAAGCAAACCAAAGATAATTTTATTGGTTAGGTACCTAATTGTTTGTCCATAGCTGCTATAGACACAAAATTAGGTACTGCAGCAGTTTTCAATATTAAATTAATTTTTATTATTAATGTACTTAAGTTTTTAAGTGATATATTGTTTGAGATTGTATGTTGTAGGCCTACACGCCCAATATATGTTTTCTACAATTTTTAATTACCTTCATAGGTATGCATCAAGTGCAACATTTTTAAGTTTGATGTGTTATCAAACAACATTTTTTAAGTGTTTAATGACTCTTCTCAACTCCAGTAAAGATGATTTTCTTAACTTCGTGACAGCTTTAAAATGAACCTTTAGGTTCAAAACCTTGATAGCTGACTTAAACCAGTATCACTGACAGTACTACAGGTATTTAACATTAAAGCGTAATCTTGAAGCTTAAAAAGTTTAAAAAAAGAAAACTAAGATTCTGGCCTCCCAACCTACGCTTCCATTTTTTCTATCACCTGCCTCTTCTAACGTAGACCGCAGTCTGGAGATGTCTGTCATTATTTAGTCTTTCAACTTCATTTTTTATCTTCCAAGTGAATTAAAATGGGAAGCCACCATTGATCTCCTTGGAATAGACTGTTAACAAAGTAGGGTATCTTCTCTCCTCCACGCATAGCCTGCCCATCTTAGCCACTTACATTTGTGCAGCGTCGGCTGCTATAGACTTTAAAAAGATTAAAGTCCACCTTCTAAAAAAAAGGAAAATTAAAATTATAGCTTTGAAATTCTATTCTTCTCAAAATTACCTTTCTTTAAAAGAAGAATCATGAAAATCTGTCAAGTAGTTGATTCACAATCTGTGAATAAATCCCTCCGATGTTTTAATATATAAGATGTTTTTATTGTTTTTTTTTTGTGATCATTTTTTGTTAATCGTAATGTCAACCAATGTAAATAGCAGCCATTTGCTAGAGTTTGGTAACATTGTTAGTTGTGTCATACATGTTTGTTAAATGATATGTAAATATTGATAGGAAAAATAATTAGTTTTATTTTGGAAGAACAAATAAATAATTATATCCTCCCTTCATTGTTTTATTGTACCATAACTTTGTTTACAAAAATAAATGGTTACCTTAAAAGCTAGAAAACCCAAATGAGATTAACCCTTTGTGTCCCAGGGATTTTCATTCATTAAAACTTGATTTAAAATCATTCAGATTTTTATATTCATCATCTAAAGGAAAATTTCTTTATGGGTAAGATCAACCCATTTACCAAAAGAGGGTAATGTATAGAAACCATTTCACATTTTGATTTATTGAAAAATATAAGAAATCTGAGAGGACTATTTTGTAATTGGGTCAATCAGAATGACTGTTTAGGATGTGGTCAGCCATTTCCTGCCCACCATATAATCTAAAACTCCAAAATGGTTGGTCGATCTATTTTCAAATAATTGTAACTTGACTTAATGTGTATATTTTCCATTGATAATTGTAGTAAAGGAGCATTAATTGGTTTTTGTCAGAGGAAAGCCAATATCAATGGCAATAAACTGTATCAGCAATCTGACACATACTTTCTTCCATTACCGTGTCAACAATCTTTATCATGGTAAGCGGTGGGAGTAACTATGATGTAGGGAAAATCACAAAAGCTGCAATCACCAAAAATCTGACCAGGTAAAAAAATTAAATTGAAAGGCAAAAGGTTTTGGCCTTATGGATTGCCAAGTTACCATGTTGATGAACAAAATACCAAGGAAATACCCCCGCCGCAGCAAACCTGCCGACTAAGCGAATTTCCATTTGTCTGAATTGATTTTCAGTTTTTATTTTAATAACATTAGGTTTAACGAGTACCTAGGTTTGCTGCTACAAGGAAACTAATAAAGTGTGTTTTTGAGTAAAATATTGATAGCTTAGTACAAAATAAATAAATTTGCCAAATTTTATCAAAATATATCCATAAACAAGCAAACTACAACATTTGACAATATCCTTCATAAGAATAACATGGGAATTTTAAATTTACAATTTTTTTAATTTTCTCGGTTACTAATAATCGAACAAAAATACTTTTATATACTAAATTATTTGTTTTTTTAAGCTCTTTAAAAGGTCTAAAGAGAAATTGGGAAATTTCGTGTTTTGAGGGACAAAAGTGAGAAAAACCAATTTTTACCCCATAAAACCCCCCGTTCCCATGGTCCGATCGTGCTGGTTCGCGAACTCATTCAAGTTTATCCCGCTTTACACCTTTAAACCAAATTTCATCAAAATCGGACAAAAATTACTCAAGTTATCGCGTTCACGGACGTATATATATATAAGTCTATGTATATATATATATATATATATATACATATATAAAAATTTGAACGAATAGTGTTTTTGGCCTCTGGGGACATCAAAATGAAAAAGTAAATCAGTCCCGGGTCTAGGTCTTACCGTGCCACCTACGGTAATAGCTACTTCCCTATAGGGAAATTCGCTAAAAGTAAACAAAAGACTTGTAACATGTGTTTATAACAAGCCATCCAAAGTATACTAGCAACAAAACATAGTACGATGGGAAAAACATCAGTTGAATTAGACTGAACATTACATCACTAACATCGTTAATAAAATCAATAACGTTAAACATCACTGAAGATTACTCGATATAGTGGTACAATGGAAATAAACTACTTTGAATGTGAAGTTTCAGTACTTAGGAAGAATCTTATCAGAATTGACTGCTTACTTGAAGAACAGTGACTGAGTTAAACATAAATCTTGTTTAATTTATTTTTGTAATTTTGATAAATCAAGATTTTTAACTAACATTATATTTCCATATCATTAATATTAGCTACGGAGGCAGTCAACATTTTCGTACAAACGTTTAGAAATTCTGTTGATTAAACGGTCCTTTTCACTTTTCATGATTGACGTCTGATATTATAAAATCACATTTTATAATATGATGGGTGGTGAGAACATGTATGTGAAGTGCATGTTCATTTCCCGATTTTTCGCCATTTGCCAGTATTGTAGTAGTGTAGTTTAGAGTCATACATGATTAATTATTGTACCTACTATACAATAATTGGATACTGATGTACCTGTTGCTCAAATTCAAGCAATTGCAAAGTATTACAGGTGTTAGTCATAATTTCAGATGACTTTAAAAGAGTCGCCTCAAAGATTATGGAAATACTTACCATGTACGTAACAGTTCGATATAATACAAATGTATTGTTATTGACCAGTCAGTAAGTGTTTGTAGCACACTTTTCCTTAAATTTAAAAAAAAATATTACGAGCAATATTATCCAGCTGATCATAATGTAAACAAATATGTTTTTCATAAGGATAACATGGGAAATTTAAAAGCCACTGGGGCAGAGCAAAAGGGACTTTTTCAAAAATGTAAGATCAGTTTGCAAATCTTACTCACCTAGACGAACATTTTGGTAGGTATATAATCTGTGGGGTTAAATCTTAAAACAAAAAAGCCCTTTTGTTCTAAAGTTTCATGCAGCATATTAAGAGTCGGCAGGAGTCAACAATTTTGCATTGATGTTGACCGTCATATGCCAGGCTAAAAAGGTTGTCCTAGCACCGATCAGCAAAAACATGTGTTCACGTTGAAGCATATTAATCATGCACCGTAAACTTGATTACCGAGCAAAAAATTTTTATGTGATTCTTAAATATTTTTCCCGTGTGAATTGCTTTTTGGATTTTTAAAACTATTGTTTTAGAGGTTGAAAAAATCACAGTTTAAGTCAATATATTTATGTAGTTTGACAAAATAATAACAATTAAAATTAAAAAGTAGATAGCAAATCACATCCGCTGTTTCAATAGTTTTAACATGAGACATTTTGCAACTTTTTATCTTGATAAACAATGCCGTAATATGCTTCAACCAACATTGCCGTTATGGGCAGAAAATCCAAGATGGCCGGTGGTCCTGCTGACTCTTAATAATATAGATAGATTATGAACAGTTATTAATTTATATGTACTGTAATTCCATGTTAAAATACAGTACAATATATTTCTTTGTTTGAATATGAAGTTACATACTATTTCTCTTAGGCTATGATTATTGATAGGGACGGGATTGAGCCAGCGGGATTACGGCTTACAATTAAGGTTCAAGTGACAAATCATTGAAGTTACACTGTATTTTAACTGTGTCTTAAAATAGCTCATATAATCTTAACAAAATTTGGTATACAACATAAGAGGTTTTGGAACCCCACTCTACTGCATTCTAAGGGGTCCCCTTGAAATTGAGAACTGGTGTTAACTTTTAACCTTATAGTTCTTAAATTGATCAGAAGCACTACAGGTAACCCAAATACACCCCCACCGCAGCAAACCTGCAGTTTAAGCGAATCTCCCTTTGCCTGATTGGATTTACACTAAAATATCTTCTTATAAATATCACATTTATTCCCTACTAGCTGTACCCGCGGGCTTTGCCCCGCTTAACTTCATAAGTATTCGCATGGCTCAATCACGTCCTAGTTGAAGTTCGTTCGCTACGCTCACTCACCTTCAGGTTGGAAATCGTTCGCTGCGCTCACATGTTTTCAGGTTAGCTCGTTCGCTACGCTTACCTACTCGCCTCCAGGTTGATGTTCGTTCGCTTTGCTCACTCACCTTTTGGTTGCAAATTAGCGGTTGTATAAATTGTTTGCTAAAGGTTTTTATGTTTTAATATTTAACATTGGAGAATTTAAACGTTGTTGACTGCACAGGTGTGCTGCGATTGGGGTTTAATACATTTGGACTTATTAAAAAGTAAAATAGTTCTCTGTGCTGCACTCTGTAGAAACACTGTGGCACTATTTCAAATCATGACTGCTAATACAAAATGTTGTGATTATTCAAACCTACAAAACAGTTGGTGAAAGTAAACATCTGCTTTAAATTATATTTATTTGTAAACATTGTAGATCAAAAAGTCTGACATTGGCCCACATAAAACCCTCTAGGGCAGAGCCCTTTTGACGGATCTGCACCAAACTTTACTCGAACCATCCTTGAAAGATGCTTAACAATGCCTGAAAGTTTCATTACAAGCTGTTTAGCGGTTTCGGAGTCCATAACGTATATACATATATACACACATACATACATAGTTCCTCTTTTATAGATATAGATTTACATATAATTTAGTTTAATGACTACTTAGGTTTGATGCAACAGGGTGGGTAAAAAAGGGGTTTTATTTGTATTGTAAAATGTTAATATTTTTGTAAGAAATAAATACATCTTCCAGATTTTATCAAAATATGTTCATAAACAAGCAAACTACAACTTATTCTCTATAAGAATAACATTGGGATTGCTATATTTACAATGTTTTGGAATTTTCTCCGTAACCATTAGGCGCTTCAATGTACTCGATTGTTTTTTTTGCTCTACAAATGGTTTGGAAAGAAATTGCTACATTTTATGTTTTTTGGGTCATAAATAGGAAAAACCAATTTTTAGCCCATAAAACCCCCCACAAACCCCCGTTCCCATAGTCCGATCATGCTGGTTCTCGAACTCGTTTGAATAAATGTAGGTTTATACCAAATTACATCAACTTCAGATCATTTTTGCTTGAGTTATCGTGCTAACAGACACACACATATATATATGAATTCAAACGGATGGTGTTTTTAGCCTCTAGGGACCTCAAAACGAAAAAGTAAATAGGTCCAGGTCTTACCATGAGTACTACGGTTGTTACATATTAATAAAATGATGTGTAAAATAAAATAGGTGTATTCTGAAATGAATCCTAAATAACAATGATTGTAAACAAAAACAAAGTTAACTTATGAAACATAACATATGGTATTTTTCTAATCATACAGTATGTTAGAAAAGACACATCAATTTTCCCCCTTTAAAGTCTTGACCGCAGCATTTGATCTACATGTCGTCTGCATGTTACTCCGTTCTCCAGTTCAACGTTGTAATGTAGATTTCCATCTCTTGATGTAACTTTTCCGAAACTCCATTTTGTCTGACCCTTGTAGTAGTTTCTCACTTGAACACGGTCTCCGACCTTAAATATGCGTGTTATACCTTTAGGTTTGTCTTTTGAGTCCTCGATTCTAGAAGGTAGCATAACACTGAGGTATGTTCTTACTTGTCTGTTGAACATGAGATAGTATGCCGAGTTTCCTGTTGAGTTTGGCACTTGACGGAGTTGTATTAACGCCTTGTGAATTTTACTGTCAAGTGTTCCTGGCTCATCTAATATCGACTTCAACATCTTCTTCACTGTTTGTACAAAGCGTTCAGCTTGTCCATTAGATGATGGGTGGAACGGAGCAGTCGTTTTGTGTTGAGTTCCACATGACTTAAGAAACTCTTGAAAAGTAAGAGAAGTGAAACTTCGTCCATTGTCTGAAATTAGGAGGCTTGGAAGACCAAAAGTACTAAAAAGTTTCTTTAACTCCTTAATAGTCCAATCGGTAGTTGCTGTTTTTGTAGGTATTACCTCTACCCATTTGGAGAAAGCATCAACAACAATGAAAAATTGTTGTCCATTTGTTGGGCCCATGAAATCTATATGTATTCTCTCGCATGGCTTAGTTGCTGGTTCCCAAGGATGACTGATCTCTTTCGTTGGAGAATTTTGTTTCTCCCGACAAGGCTTGCAAACAGCAATCATGTTTTCAATGTCTTTATCCATTCCTCTCCAAAAGCAGTAACTTCTTGCCAAAGCTTTGGTTTTTACTATACCAATGTGCCCGTAGTGTAGTTCATTGAGAATTCTTTTCTTGAGGGAATTTGGGATGATTACTTTCCACCCTTTGAAGAGGCATCCTTCATGTAATGTAACTTCATTATCGTGAAATCCCAATGGCTCTAATGATTGACCCTCCTCAAGAGCCTCCACAATTTGTTTTAGATATGCATCCTTCTTAGTTTCTTCGGCCAGTTCTTTGGGATTGATAGTTATGGTGTTCAATTGGTTTGTTTGAAAATGTCCAAACTGGTCAATACTTGTATATTTTGAATCTTCCACAGGAAATCTTGAGAGGAAATCTGCATTGCCATGGTCACCAGTTCTCTTGAATTCAATTGTGTAGTTAAATCCTGATAAAAAATGGGAGTAGTTGAATAGTCGCGTAGCTGACATTGATGGTAGGCTCTTGTTGGGATTGAAGATTGACACTAATGGTTTATGGTCCGTGATGAGTGTAAAATGACGTCCATAGCAATAAGAAAAAAATTTCTTCAACCCCCAGTATATACCTGTGGCTTCTTTATCGATTTGGCTGTAATGTTTTTCAGCATTGGTCAATGATCTTGAAGCAAAAGCTATAGGCTTTTCACTTCCATCTGGGAAACGATGTGATATCACTGCTCCAAGTCCCACTGGTGAAGCGTCAGTTGCAAGGATCAATGGCAGGTCTGGGTTAAAGTGACAAAGGACTGTGTCACTTGTTATTCTTTTCTTGATGGTTTGGAACCCTTCTTCACACTTACTGTCCCATATGAATGACTGCCCTTTTTTTAGAAGTCTATGTAAAGGATTTAAAACATTGGACAAATTCTTTACAAACCGGTTGTAGTAATTAACAAGCCCTAGGAAAGATCGGAGTTCTTGTATGTTTTGAGGCCTTCGTGCATTTGTAATTGCTGTGATTTTATCCTTACTTTTGTGGATTCCAGTGGCGTCAATAATATGTCCTAGATATTCAATTTTCTTTTGAAAAAATTTACACTTGTCACGGTTCAACTTCAAATTTTGACTCCTTAAACGCTCAAACACTTGCTTTAGTCTTTCTAGTAGTTCTTTTGATGACGTTCCTTGAATTATTATATCGTCGAAGAAGCACTGAACACCTTGAAGGTCTTGAAGGATTCCGTCCATCACCTTTTGCCAAACCCCTGGAGCAACTTTTACACCAAACATCAGTCTGTTAACTGTGTATTGTCCTTTATGAGTGCTCAAAGTTTGAATTTCTGCACTCTCAGCATCCATTTCCAAGTGGAGATAAGCGTTACTTAAATCCAAAGTACAGAACAACTGTCCTCCATTCATTTGAGCAAAAATGTCTTCGATCCGAGGTATTGGATGATGTTCTTCTTTGATTTGTTTATTTACTGTAACCTTGTAATCTAATTCGTATGTTACCATTAGGCTTTACTACAGGTACAATTGGAGTACCCCAATCGGACTTGTCCGTTTTGGAAATGATTCCAGCTTCTTCCAGACGATTCAACTCGAGTTCTACTTTTTCAGTTAGTGCATATGGGACTGGACGAGCTTTCACAAAAATAGGTCTTGCCCCTTCAACAAGCTGTAAGTGTGCTTTTTTGTGAGGTATGAGTCCTACTCCTGGTTCAAATAATTCTTTGAATTCATCCAAAAGATCTTCGAGTGCAGTAGATGTAGTATTGCTCCTAACTGTTTTAAGTTCTGCCCAATCCAGTTTGACCTCTCTAATCCATTCTCTTCCGAAAATTGCATCAAAATTTTGGTTCACTATGTAGAGTTTCCCAACAAACACCTGATCATTGTAAGTGCATTCTACAAAGACGACACCCCGGGGTTTGATTATTTCGCTTGAGTATGGCCTTAGTTCTATGTTTGTGTGGAAAATCTTTTTATTTATGTTGAGACTTTTGAAGGTAGAGTATGGTAGAATACTTATTGCTGCTCCAGTATCTAACTCCATCCGCACAGGTTTACCTTCAATAAGTATCTCGACCATAAACTTGTCATTACCGGCATTCTGGTTGTGTATCTTAAAAACTTCTTGTTTCTGTTCCTTATAATAATCTGTAGTATTGTCAGTTTCAGTACAATGAATTTCTGTTTGTTTTGTGCCCAAACATACGCTAGCAATATGCCCTTGTTTGTTGCATTTCTTACATATTTCTCCGATAAATTTACACTGATGTGCCCTGTGTCTAGGTGATCCACAACGATAGCATTTACCTTTGAGGCGTTCAAATGGAGAGTTTAACTTTTTGTTCCAAGTAGTAGAAAAATGGGGTGGTTTTGTTTCTGTAGGCCTACCTGCTATCTTGTTGATTTTCTCATTTGAATGAATGTTTTCTTCTACTATATGGCTTTCGTTCTTTGCCAATTCCATGATGGAGGCAAGTTTCACTACATCTTGAAACGATGAAGCAGATCTTTCTTGTAGTAATTTTGTTCTTATGTCTGAATTGCTAATACCTCTTATAAACTGCATGCGTAGTAATGTGTTTGCAATTGATTTCCCACAATTATTACAGTTGAAGTCACAGTCTGAAGATAACTTTTGAAGCTCAACGGAATATATTTTTACGGTTTCTTCAGATTCTTGTGTTCTTGTCATAAATTTGTGTTGTAAGGCCCAAGTACTAGGTTTAGGGTCAACATAATCAGCCAAAAGACTTACTAATTCAGCATATGTTTTATCCAAAGGACTTTCAGGAGCGCACAAATCATACAGCTTCTGATGTAAATGTGGCGTTAAGGCATGTAGCATTGTATACACTTGATCCTTTGGTTCCAATTCTTGGTTATGTAGATATAGAAATATCTCAAATCGACGAATGAAGTTCTTGAATGATTCATTTTCCTGATATGGTGTGAAAATCATTGAGGAAGTAGTGGATCGACGTTGTGGAGAAGACAAATTTGATGTACTAGGCACAATATTTTGAATGTTCACTTGTAGTTCTGCAAGCTGTCCCACACGTTTTTGTAACTCATCCATTACCTTGTAATATTTGTCCTCCATTTCTACTCTGTAATCTATTTCTTTCTCAATTTCAGCTTCTTCAGTTTTCTCTTCTATTAATTGTTGTACAGAATTAAATCTTTCCCAATACTCTTCAATTGTTGTTATCCTGGTTTTGATTACTTCTTTTGACATGTTTTGTAGGTTTGCTAGCCATCTTTCAGCCTTAGACAACTGACCCTTCACTACTACTCTAATCTTCTTTAAATCATTCAAACTTTCAGTGTTACTTAGGTCACTCATGTTAAAAAATAAATTGTAATAAATATAATGTAAAAAAAATTAAAAACTGGTTTTCCTCGTCGCCAAACTGTTACATATTAATAAAATGATGTGTAAAATAAAATAGGTGTATTCTGAAATGAATCCTAAATAACAATGATTGTAAACAAAAACAAAGTTAACTTATGAAACATAACATATGGTATTTTTCTAATCATACAGTATGTTAGAAAAGACACATCAACGGTAATAGCTTATTTTCTATATGGGAAATTCACTAAAATGAAAAGAATGAAATGGACTGTAGGCATACAAGCAGCTAAGACAGCATATTTTGCTTCAGTGGAGTTCCATTTCAGGTATGGGTTGATATCATGGGGAAGAACATCTGAAACCAACCTTAACAAAATCCTGGTCCTTCAGAAGAAGGCCATTATGGCTCTTATGGACCTTGACCCCACAGATAGCTGCAAAGAAGCCTTCAAATCACTAACGCTCCCAACCGTCATAGCACTTTACTGTACATCAGTGCAGTTGTTCTATATACACTGACCAGCTGGAATTTCCCAGGACTGGGGATTTTCACTTATACCAGACCAGGAGAGCAACTGATTTCAGCCTTCCTGCACACCATACAACACAGAGTTGAGTAAGAAACTATCCGATAATGGCCGCAAGATTCACAATGCACTGCCCCAAGAACTCAAGACTATGAGAGGAAACACACTAAAACACAGACTGCGCGACTGGCTGATGGAACAACCTGTTTACTCAATCAAAAAATTCTTTAACCCCTTTAAAAAAAGAAGGCCAGAAAATACTTGTTAAGCAAGACATTTAAACAAACCTGACACAATTGTATTTCTGGAGGAAATTACCAATAAAAAATTTGTATGTTTTATGATCAGTAGATAGAGTACAGATAGCTTTGGTAACACCATTGATAAAACATACTCCCTTCCAAGTAGATTTGTCATTCTTATGGAACAGCTGAAGCCAATTTTATTGTTAGTCCTGTATGTCACACTGTAGGGGTCGTGTTTTGTTTACAATTTGTTTCTTTTTATTTCAGTCACTTAAAACCTTGTTTAACCAAATAAAACTATCTAATTACAAACAATTGGTCCTCCTGTATATACGGAAAGTAAATAAAGATACGTCTTATAACACTTAAAACATTTATTTACGCTTATACTGTTACTCACAAGACGGTAAATATACAAAAGATGGTAAGTGGTGATCGATTTCGATTGGACACTCATATCATCATCAGACCCAATAGGCAAATCAACACACATTCGCCTATTGGGTCTGATGATGATTGGAGTGTCCAATTGAAATCGATCACAACTCACCATCTTTTGTATATTTACCGTCTTGTGAGTAACAGTATAAGCGTAAATATATGTTTTTAGGTGCTATAAGACGTATCTTTTTTTACTTTCCGTAAATTTAATAACAGGTACAATGCTGATCAAGAAGTTACTCCTGTATATATAACCAAACAGTAAAGCACAAATCATGAAATTAACCTTAAAATTACAGAAACAAAATTTTGTCTCTACTAGCAATCAGTGTCAACGTACATGAAATAGACACATGAAACGAGCTTCAAAATTTACAATGGGATGAGAACTCTACTTGTGTTGCTTAATCTATGGTAACACACACAAAACATTAAAACTTCATATTTCATCTCTGTTAGTAACTTCATCAGAAGGGAGAAGAAAGAAGCTGGTCTTCTGGACGGCAGTCTTCTTTCTTCGACGAAATATTAAGTTTTACTGTTTTGTGTTATGTGTTTTCTGTGTGTTACCAAAGCTAATCTGGACTCTATCTTCCAGGTAAGATAGCTGATCCCTATTCTTGTACATTATATTCCTAAATCAACCAATTGCCCTTTCCTTAATTTCTAATAATAGTATATTTCACCAGAGATATCAACATTAGGAAATGGGACTTTCGTGACGAGTATTGAACAATGCTTTTTATCACAAAAAAAAAAAAAAAAAAAAAAAAAAAAAACTAAGTATATTCCATAATCCATTCATTTTTCTCATCTAAACACAATACGGCTGTAAAATTCAGCTGGTTGTAACTTTGTTGATGTCTGGCATAGTATTGTTTGTGTGGCGAAAGTTATGTTTATTTCAGGAAAAGTCAGCTGATCGCTATTTGTTTTTGGTGTATGGAAATCGAAGATCTCAGCTGTATGGAAATTGGATATTTTTGAATACAGAGTGATGAAAAGAATTTTTCCTACAGTCACCCGACAAAGTTGACTTCCTTGTACTGTTTAAAAAGCTGCTAATTGCTGCATATTTATACTTTGTCGTACGGTTTATACTTTGGCGCACATCAGGATTCCAACGAAACAACACAGAACAGCGTGGTTCTATTATGCACGTAATCCGTGTACGCTTGGAAATAGGTTGGCAACACTTAAAGATAATAATACTATGAGCAGCTGATTGACTATTATAACTACGATTTAACCTGTCATTTTGTGTTATTTCTGAACTTTCTGGACTTTCCTTTAAAACGGTTTTAAAACTTTCCTACGATCTTAATAAACAAGAAAATACCTTTAAAGCATTTTTTTTTAGGCGCGGAAACCACTTCAAATTACAAAAACATACGGAACTATATTCTCAAGTCGCGGAGCACATTTCTTGCCGAGGAAAAATAGCGGAGTGAGGGTACTACTTTCTCTAGGGCACCTATTTGTGTTGCCAACTGAACCTAAAAACGTGTTGTACAGTGTTTGAAAGACTAATTATTTATATGGTTTATAGTGCCTGTAGGAAAAATATAATGTAACTATTTTTTTATTAATTGTCAAAGATGTTTTTCCAAACTCAATAAAGCCAATTATTTGTAAATTGTATTTCATTTTCTCATTAAGAGATTATTCCCCTACAGGAAAAGAATTTTTTACCAAACGGTTGATTTGTAAGCCACAACCACAGAGGAAGTTGTGGTGAGATCTTGGAGTCTAGATTCATTGAGCATTTTTGTTCATTGCATATGTTTCCTTTGTTGAGTTAACAGATTAGTTTGATTTTCTGTACTTTGTTTCTTCACAAGTTTTAAAGATGTTTGTACCTTACGTGATTCTGATTTGCTTTGTTTTTATCACAGTGGAAGCTCAATACAAGGTAAGTTATTATTGTTATTTAATTATTTTGAGATCACTTGGTTTAAGATTAAGAAGTTCTCTTTAACAAGCCATTACAATACTAATAGTTTTGATTGCTTATTTAGTCATAGCTTTTAGCAGCGTATTTAAGATCATATAATTAGAGGGGGTAAAGTTTACTGTGGCGTCTTCTTCCTGAATTTATGTAAAAAAAAAAAATAATTCATTTTTGGTAGAGCTACTAAAATATAAAATTATTCTGTTGGGTTCTAAATTATATTCTATAGGAACAGGGTTTTATGAGGCGATTTATGGGGTAAAGTTGGTTTTTCTCATTTTTGACCCTCAATACATACAATTTTCCAATAACTCACTAAACCATTTTTAAGAACTTAATAAAAAAATAATTTATTTTCTTGAAGTGTTTTTGTACGGTTACGGAGGAAATTAAAAAATTGTAAATTTAAAAATCGTAGGTTATTTTTATGGATATAATAAGTAAACTGTTATAGTTTGCTTGTTCATGGATATATTTTGATCAAACATGACAAGTTTAATTATTTCATACTAAGCTATTAATATTTTACTAAAAACACACTTTATTAACCTGTAGCAGCAAACCTAGGTTCTCGTTAAAAGGTAATGTTTTTGAAATTTATTTAATTGATAATCAAATCAGGCAAATGGAAATTTGCTTAGTCTGCAGGTTTGCTGCGGCGGGGTATTTTTCATTTCTGTTAGAAAATACATCATTTTAAAATGGTAGGCCGGTATTTCAATTACTAAAATTAAATATATTGGCTTGTTTAGCAAGGTTTATCACTCTAAAAATGTCTGCAAATTGGAATTTGCATACATTGAATTTGAATACGGTACAGTAACACATAACAAAATTGTCTTGGTATCTGAAAGGTTATAGTGCTCTCCTTCAAGTCTGAAGGTTGCTGGTTCGATTCCAAGCAAAACTGTACCCAGATGCCACATATCAGTGGACCATCAAATGATGCTGTCTACCAAGGTCGATTTTAGATTTTAATAAGACCAAGTATGGACAGCTCCCTTAAAACTCATAGATGTGTGTTTTGATTTACAATATCTACAGGCAAGTACTAAACAAAAAACCCTCATCAGGAACAAACTTTCCAAGTACAGTAGCATCTATATATTAATAAGCAAGCGTGTTTCTTTAAAACATTTTTTCTCAGCTTGTGTCCATCACAGGGAAAATCTACGCATACTGCTAGAAAGATATTTTCCTGTAGATGTGCAGAATCCCTTTAAAAATTCAAATAGGCTAAAAAATAAGCCCAAAAATGAATTTGAGATTTTTTAAAATTAACATGGGTCTTATGGGTTGCTATGCTGGCGACAATAACAACAAAATATAAACAGAAAATCTAAATAGAAGAAATTCCAATCACATGTTTTATTTACAGCGTGGGGTGAAAATACAGGATCCCCGTACATGACATATTTTGGTCGAGTTTTCGACCACTAGATGACCTGTAGTGTAAATAAATAGATGATCTTTTATTGTTGACAACTGACCATTAAATGATAATAGGTCTATTCTACAATATGCATAAACTATGCCGAGTTGACGTACAGCATGATATTTTTGCTGTATGGTAAGTCTTTTTTTGTCGCAGGGTGGAGACTGCCCCCCCGCACTACCAGTAGGCGTCTGCTACCCCAGCTGTGGGGGCGACGGTGACTGTGAAGGGTTCTACAAGTGTTGTCCCACCTCTTGTGGCGGTTCTGTGTGTAGCCGTCCAGTGACCGCCCGACGCCTGGCTACATGTACGTATACATAATAAATACAGACTCCTTAATTCAACACTTGGATTTAACCTAACCTAAAGACGTGTTGTATAGTGTTTGAAAGACTAGTCATTATTTATTTGATTTATAGTAACTGTATGAAAAATATAATGTGTAACGCGAGTGCTAAGTGCCTTTGTTGCACTTGAGGAACTTTCCACACTAGCCTGAGGCTCCATTTCTCTCATGTGAAGCAAAGCGCTACTTCGCTCACTAGTTACACAAATAAATATTTTCTAAATAAATTTAAAATACTACAATATTGAAATTTAATTTAAAAATTAACACGGCTAACCTTTTTTACAGTGAAGAACGGTGTTTGTCCTCAAGCTCCGACGGGTCCGTGGGTTTGCTCGGACAGATGCAGCACAGACGCAGATTGTCGAGGACGTAACAAATGCTGCCGTAACCGATGCGGCGCCCTAGCCTGCATTCCTCCCCAGCAGTACTAGCAACGGCCACTGAAAATATGTTAAAACAACATTGTTTTATATTCTCTTTGACAACTACTTTTATTTAAACTTTGAATAATTTGAGATTTACTTTCTCTTATCCTAAGTCAGCTTATTGAACCGTGTAGTGTGTTTTTGTGAATTTGTCTACTATAATAAGAAATAAAATTTACTTAGTCAACAATTTAGATCAGTGTTTTTAATTCTCATCGGATATTTTAAACTGGTACGATTTTTGGAGGATGATTTAGTTTTGGGTTTGGATGTAGTACTATGTTAAACCGCCCTTTTTAACCATTCATTTTTTTCGATTGTGTATTGTGTTTTAAGTTAATTTTTTACCCACTATATGAGGAGATACAAGAGACCTTTTGTAAAAATCCATGGACCTGAGTTTCTAACTCCCATTGATTCATATTTTTGTCAAGAACAAAAAATTTCCAATTCAGTCTAGTGATGCGTATATGAGGATGAATCAATAATTTGTAGTCCTCTCCTTCTTAAGTATACATGCTCATGTAATTAATGAAAACTAATATTGATAATTACTGTAATGACTAAAATGAAATATCTGTTGAGAATACAGGCCCTTACCGGGCATTGTTGTGACTGGCTAAATTACTTAAATCATTTGAAAACTATTAAAATAATGCCTGTATTTGTTTAACTGAGATTCAATCCTGTGTACTTAAGCTTGACCATTCAAATATGTATTCTTGCTTTCACAGCTGTTGCTTCGGTTGGTAATGCCTTGGGTAGTTTTTCAACTTACTAACATAAACTTTTTCATTAGATAGGACCATTTAATAAAAAGCCCAATGATCTGGGATGTCTATGACCGTTTTATACTACTCCTTTCAGCAAAAAAACAAAACAAAAACATTCAAAATATGTGTTTCTGCAATCATTAGCATTACTAAAAAAATAGTTATAGTAACTTTAAAAAAATAATTAAAATAGGGATTGGAAACTAAACAATGGGGAATATAAACAACTGTTATATTGACTACAGTAGACTCTCTCTTATCTGGACACCTTTTAACCGGACATCGGTTTAACCGGACTACACTCGGCCGAAATGACATCTCTTTAACCAGACAATTTTTATCAGTACATTGGTTTAAACGGACTAGATCGGCAGGAAGTGGGCGGCACTGAAACAACTGTTCTCGTGGGAAAGATTTGAGACCAGCGATCACGTGTCTAAATACCATGCTCTCCAAAATTTAAGTCGAATATCACAGTAAATGGTCCGTTTTAACGAGTTTTTGGGAAGTCGGTTTAACCTGAAAACCCGTTATCCGGACTAGCCTCGGTCCTGAGGAGTCCACTGTAGCTGTAATCAACAATTATTTTCGTGCGATATCTTTTATTATATATTTTTAGTACAATTAATTCTATAATTTTTTCTGAAATGTGGTTAAGGTGATTTGAAAAAAAATCTTTGTTAACTGTGTAAATCACATCAAACCTAATTTTGTAGAGTAAGGGGCATAACTTTCCACCAAAAATTCTAAAACAAATATGTTGACAAAATCAGTACTTTCTTCCTGTACTGTACATCTACATAGAAAGAGAAGGTAAATAAATTATTTTGAGAGTTTGTGATCATAAAGAGTACCTAAATAATCTTTCTGAATTATGTCAATGATTAAGATTCAAGATTTTTTATTTGGTCACTATAAACAATAAAACTATAAGACCATCTCCGCTTATTGTTAAGTTAAGCTACATGAAAATATTACATAGGTTCATAGTGAATAGACATTTTTGGTTGACTAGATTTAAATACAAACATTAAAGCTGCAAATATACACAAAGGAAAGATCTTAAAAAGTACTAGACACAAACAATAATTATACAAACAATATAACACACGATTTTAAATCGTGTGTTTTAACCAAAAATATTTTAACAAATTCAGGGAAGAATAATCAAGTCCTTGGTATTATTAATTATTCTTAGAGCATGTTCATTCTCAAGTGGATTTTGATTTACAAGTCAACAGAAATCTCCAGAACTGTGTTTCTTACTCATCTTGTCAAACAGATGAACTTCAAAATGCCTCATCAATGTCAATCACTGATGGAGAACACTCAAATTTATCTCCTTACGACTTAGGTATTTAAACCAGCTACAAATGGCACACTAATTACAGGTCTGACTTTACCTAGAAGGCTCAGCATGATGAACTTCCAACTATTTTTCTTGGTGGTAAGCAAGATATAAGTATTAAGTTACCTTATTTTCATAAGTGTTATACACAATAAATATTCATCTATTGTCTAGCTATTATGATAAATCTTATAGACCATATTCTCTGACTTCTGGATACTAGTAGTAAACGTCCCAAGTTTATGGGCTTACCCAATCGGTTGTTATAGGCCTATTGGTAGTTGCTTATTTGCTTCATTCACATTCTGTCGGTGGCTTATGGAAGAGCATTCCCACACTTTCCAGATATGGAAAGAGAACAGGGAACAGGAAACTCAAGGACGACGGACTGCCAGTCCGGCAGGCAGGCAGGTCCAAAAGTGGGTGGAACGGTGGCATGGTGATTATACTCATGTAGTTCTTGTCAGGTCTATTTTCAGTCATGCCTGCTTTGATCGCCAGGTTAAATTCACCCATTTATCTACTGCCTGGCGACACAAAATAATTGTTCTTCCTCTGTCCCCATTGGGATATACCCCGCCAACGCACCACTCAACATCTTGGGGTGCTTTTGGTTGAATTGGTTTGTGAAATCATGATGGAGGAGGGGACAACTTAGTCACATTTTGTTTGAAACTTTCTTCATTCTCTCAAGTTGTGTAAGAAATGAATAACTTAACATAATTACAACAATTCCTCTCAATTTGGATTGGTTAAAAGGTTCGCGTAGGCTATTATTTGACAGAAATAAGTAAGTGATATCAGCAAACTTTGTCAGTGATTCAATTCAATTATGTTAACTTCATGTTAGTGAGTCGGTGGCTCAGTCGGTAGCGTCGGGGACTTCGGGCCCAAGGCAGCGATGTCGTGGGTTCGGATCCTGGTCACTGCCGATAACATTTTATCAGTACAGTTCACCTTTGTACTGTACCATACATTTACATTTATTGTTGTCATGAGAGCCGAAGCCCCCTGACTGCATACCCGGTACCTATCCTTTAGGACATACCCGGGCCCCATGATGTAGGCCGAAGCTTACGCATCAACCTTTAGCACATCATGGGCGGATGACTTAAGGTCATCAGGCTCGCCGGCTGCCGAAGCAGACCCTTCGGAAAGAGGGTTGCCCCTCAATCCTAACCAGGGATTCCGGCTGCTTGTTTAAGCGTCACTCCACCTGGGTTCCACTAGGTCGGGACCTAGAGGTCCATGGTAGAGCGCCCCGACGCATTTAGTGCAAGCAACACTCGGGACCTATCTAATCCCTGACAGGCAGAACCCGCCATCAATAGCCAGGAGGAAGGGGACCATCAGCACGCTGACGGGGGGAACCCCAACCTCCCATTTACACCGCTGCCCGATCGAGGCCTTACCCATTGCTGGGAAACCAGAGATAACCAGAGCGATAGATCCCCAGATACCCCTGGCGGGCTCGGACCCAGCACCCGATCTACTTCGTTTGCCCGTCAGACCCAACATCACTGCCAGGCCATCAGGGTTTCCCAAAAGGAGGCAGGTATAGAAGTGGGACCCGCCCGGATGAACCTATCCACCAGAGGTGGCGACACCCTTGACTCAATTGAGGTTCCGGGAAGAACCCCCCACACTCAAGATAACCATACCGTCCGTGCTCAGAGACAGGGATTGGTTTGCATAAGTACCTACAAACCGTTGCCCTCACACTGCGGAAAGTTACGTTGCCCTTGAGTGTCCCCGTGAGCTGCGGGTACTTGCCCGTTTTCACCTCCAGGAAAGGTTACTTCCAAAGTCGAGGATTTGCCCACTGAATGCTGGTCGCACACAACAAGCAGGCCGAAACCCAAAAAACCACAGACACAGGTAGGTTAGAGATTATGATGTACTTCCATCTCTCCTAGAGCTAAACACCCCTCCATCCTGGATAAAGGAATGTCACTGGGACCCGATGCCCAGTCGTCCATGTCTGTGGCCAACTTGAAAATGCCGATACCAACACGGAGCATTTACCTCCCCTCTGGGGGCTAGGTATTTCACCTCCCAGGACGAGGCTACTTCCAAAGTCGAGGATATGCCTCACAAAATGCCAGTCGTACACGACAGGTAGGACTCAGTCACAACCACAAGCTACAGGCAGGTGAAAGATCTATGAACTTAATCAACACTAGCAGAGCTGAACACCCCCACCACCCTGAATGGAGGGAATGTCACTGGGTACTCTCACTTTGGGTAAACCCAAAGAGGCTGGCTTGTCCAGTCGTCCATAGCTTGTGGTCTACCTGAAGTGCCGGTTCCAACACCGGGCAATTACCTCCCCTCTGGGAGAGCTAGGGTCCGCGTGGTCGCCCAGGCCACGAACCCACGCAAGCGTGAGCCCCCTGCGGTTCTTTGTACTGTACCGGCTCACTCCTTGCTTTGCTGTAAACGATCCACGCACGGGCGCTTAGTCTATGTGGACGGGCAAATGCAAGGTTAAAAGAGGCCGCCAACCTCTTTTTTTTAAAAAAAAAAAAAAAGACTTGGAGTGAGCCCTTTGGGCGGCGTAGGCATACTCGGTCTAGTTCAAATGAAGTGCGACAAGTGTTAACAGGCTAGTGTTCATTTTATTTATTTTATTTTATTTCCAACGGCAGCAGCCAATTTACAAAGAAAAACATGATGGTAGAATCAACAAATAGGTATACAAAATTTGATAATAAATATATGTTTTCAAAGATATACAAGTTAAAAATATTCAAGGCATAACAACAACAAAAAATTAGATTAACAAACAACAATAAATACTCAAACATAACAACAGAAAAAAAAGATTAACAAACAACAATAATTAATTACTAGTCTAATTATTAATCTCACTCTTCATAGAGTAGAGAAGGTTTTTAGAGGGAAGTCTATGGATATTAAACCTGTTGAGTTCCACACCACAGGCCTTTTGTGATTTTTCCCTATAAAATATCATAGTTACTCCCACGGCTTATCCATGATAAAGGTTGTTGACAAGATTGAGGGAGAAAGTATGTGTTAGATTATTGATACCGTTGTTTCATTTCATAAAAGATGCTATTGGTTTAATCAATTATCCTCTCAATTTGGATTGGTTAAAAGGTTCGCGTAGGCTATTTGACAGAAATAAGTAAGTGACATCAGCAAACTTTGTCAGTGATTCTATTCAATTATGTTAATTTTCATTCTAAAACTGACAAAAGCTCTAATATTGGAATGGAAGATTATTTTGTCTCTATACTTTAGTCTTCATACTTTTTAGATTGTGTTTTGTGAATCAGATAAAAACATACAGGTCAATGTTATTCCAAAGTTCTTCAATCAATAGTTATTCTCATTCCAGGTTGCCACAACTCTAGTCTCATCACTAGGGTCACCAACCTCCAACACTTCTCTGTCTGTTGATACCTCCCCAGTGCAATTCTGTGATAGAGACTACTCGTGCGCAGACTGTTCCACGGTGCGAGTCTGCGCTCCAACGTCAGACGGACAACATCTTCAGGAGATAGCTAAATTCTATTGCCCCTCGTCAAATCCTTACTGCAACTCCGCCACTGGAACCTGCAGTTCCACTCCAGACACTTCTTGTGTCCAACCAAACACGACCGTTGCCACAAACTTCACCTGCATGCGAGACGGCTACTTCCCTGACCCCGTCAACTGTTCTTTGTACTACAATTGTCAAGGCGAAGTCGCGTACCAATACACATGCCTGTACCCGACCCCTTACTACCATCCTGGCCAGAAATTGTGTGTTACTAGCAGTACTTACTGTACTTCAAACACTGCGGGGTACAACTGTAAATATTACAGTTCCTATCAAGGGATGAAAGTAGCTGTCGGGTATACGAGGAACTATTTCATATACTGTAGCAGTCAAGGAACGATAGTGGCTGTTGATCGGTGCATTGGAGAATATCACTTTTCGACAAGCGCACAAGATTGTAAATTTGTCTGTCCAAATGCAGGGTTGTTTCTCAAGAAGGACGTAGACTGTGCTAACTACTACAAGTGTGCTCCAACAGTTGAAGGTGGACTTGACTTGATCAACATGACATGTCCGACCGGCCAAGGCTACTCTGAGTTCGACTACAGCTGCATCGATCGTTCCCTAGTCCCTAACTGTAACGTTCCTTATCCTGATTTGATGAATAAATAGATTATTCGCTGTAATGGTAATGGCTATACAAAACTCTAATTGTAATATCATTTACTTAATCTTACTAAAAGAATAAACTGTATTAACTATAAAATCTGTTCCATTTATTGCCTGAAAAAGTTGACATTTTTACGCTTTTGAATCTCATTTGACGACATTTTGATAAAAACCGTTCATAAAATTGAATGATTTTTTGTGTTTAAGGGTTATTGTTTGTGGTGTTAAGTTAGAAAAACAGTTGTTGGAGAGAAAACAAAGGTTCAGTAATCGATGTTTGAAAATGTTGGCAATCGTCTTAAAAATAAAAACACACTGTAGGTGTATTCTTAAATTCAACATTAAATGTTCAATTAAATAACAAACTGATGGACATCAAATGTGTTTATTGAGCTGAGTGGTTTATTGTGCTCGCCTAACAATCAAAAGGTCGCCAGATCGATTCTGAGAAAAGTCTGTAGGCCTATAGCTTTTTGATAGATTGGACTGGACCATAGCAGATCCTGATCATTGCGCTTTTAATAAAAAGTCCTAGCAAATGAAATGGTTGATCTTAGTCAGTAACAAAGCTGAACAGATTATTAACTCCATTCTACACTCATTCTTTGCTCACATTTGGGTTGCAATATACACCTAGTTGGCGTCCCCATCTCAAATGATTAGGTACTAATTATTGATAATTGAAAAAAATTGTTAAACAAGTTACAAAATAATAAAAATAGACAATGCCTAAGTATGTTTTGGATCAAATCTAATGTATCTTAATATGTATCTTATTAATGAATAGGCGCAATCAGGAAGCGAATAATTACCAACAAATGATGTACTTGTTCAAATTTGTTTTAATTAAACCCAAAATTATTCAATTAATTTTCCTTACTAAACCAAAAGTCAAAATTTAACATAGCTGAAGGTAGTTTCATTGAGTAACACAGTGCAGTTTTTACAGACATGCCAATTACAGTGACGTAAATGTCATTTTGATAAACATTTTGTTATCATCTGGAAAGAGACAACACTCGCTTCAGTACCAAAATAAAATGCATCAATGGAAGCTGGTTAAATATTCCTTTTATCTAAAAAACTGCGCAAATTGTAAACATGAAACATCCTATATTATAATATGAGTAAAGTTTGAATATTTTTTGCTTCGATCTAAGAATTGGCATCAAGAACCACACTTGTACTTATGGTATAACTAAATTCTGTGTGAAAAATAAGTGCTAGACCAGTGGTATAGCCAGGAAAAATCTATTTTCGCCATAATTTTTTCTTGTATTTCTTCAACCAATATAGTTACTTAACCCATAAGGCCAATGTAAAATTTTTAAATTTTCAAATGAGTTTGTGTAGTGAAATATACAAATTTTCTTGAGGTGGTGGCTGTCGTCAATCACATTTTTAGGCCAGAAATTGATTATTTACAACATTTGAAGGAAATCGTCAAATCTGTTTTTGTGATCATTTTGCAAGCAAGCATAAATACAGGCAAACATTGCTCATATGAGAGTATAGGATATGTCAAACTATATTGATAAGAACGCATCAATAAAACAAATGTGTAAGGGGTGTGGTTTACAACCGATTAAAACAATTAATTGATTCATATACTTTTGATACATGCGATAGCTTACAACTGAATATTACAACTGAGGTTACAACAGCTGACTTTTACTCCCTAGAAACTAAAATGGCTTTTTACTCCCTAGGCAGTAAAAGAACCACTTTGGGACCACAACACATTTATTTAAAGGGATGTTTTTGCTGCAATATGAAGAAAAATTAAATTGTGAAAAAACTAAAAAGGTGTAGCTAGGTGGATATTGTGCTTCCAAGGTGGTCAGAATGTAACTGGTTCGATTCGTGAGAAAAGTCAATGGTTTTTGATGGTTCAAAAGTGGACCATTGGTTATTGGGTTTAAAATTAATGATCCTGACAAAATAAACAGCTGATCTGAGTCTGAAGCAACAGCTGCAAAAGGAACCTCACTTTATTCTCATCCCTCACTCATATGCAGGGAAAAATACCCCAACATTGTGTTGTAACTTAAGCTGTTAAATCTTTTAATACAATATTTAAGTTTTTTCCATACTATATATTTGCTCCAGTCTTAAGTAGGGTGAGTGCATATTAGGGTTAGATGAGCTCTGTAGTAAAAAATATCCACTTAGTAAGCTTCGATCAGAAACAATATCTGATCAAAGTAATTTATTCGGAATCCGATTTTCACGGAACTGTTTATTTAAAACCGAACCTTCAAAAAAGTTTCCATGTGTGGCCAAAGACAAGGTGGATTCACCGATTTATCAGAGAGGGATGGCACATTTTGGCAAACGATGGATCTAGGTTGGCCGTTGACAAGCGACCTTTGACATAAGATAAGATAGCGAGTGGTTACTATATATTAGTGATATAAAGCCTCAGCCACTACCCGTTATCTCGCAGTAGACTCCGTGGTGACTCTGTCTGTACTCACTGTGATCTTGCTGTCTCGTCTCGCTTTTCTCTCTTCGTCTCTGTCAATCTGCCTGTTTATGCTGCCGTGCTGCCAGTTTTCTCAGGTTTCGATCTGCCGTAGCGGCCTCTCAGGCCTAATCGCCTGTTACTCTATTGTCGCTAACATCATTTTGGCCGCTCGATTGATTCTCTTTGTTTGTTCAGGTAAATTTAAAACATTTCAAATCAAATGTTCTTTAAGCCTTATCATTACATTGGGATAGGAACATGGTGTGCATTTCAACAGTTTTGTTTCCGACTAAGATCAGCTGTTTTCATTAGCCAACAAGATTCAGTAAAAACCCAATGATCAAGACCAACTTGGTTCAGTTTTAAACTTCCCAAAAAAGCTACGGGCTTTTCTGAGGATCCAACAAAAATAAGGATTGATCTTTTAATTAACAGGCGGGCACTGTAACTACTCTGCTAAGACGCCAATTAAGAAACCATCCATCTCGTTGCTGAGAAACTTAGGGATTGTTCTGGGTATACCCTGCAAGATTTCTGTGTTTTTTACTGATCTTAAGATCTCTTGAGTTTTCAGTAACAAAGCTACGTATAAGTCTTCTCACAGATTATCCATTATTATTGGGGTTAAAACTTGCATTAGTTTAGTTAGATTATATTTTAACTACGCTGGCACATTAGAGTGCTTATTTTATGGCAAATACGAGTGTAAAATGAATGAGATTAAAGCTTTGTTGCTGAGAAAGATCAGCTGTTTGTAAGTCAGAATAATTTATTTAAATCCCTATAAACAGCTGGGTCCAGTTTCAAACCATTAACCCTTTGCGGTCGAATGGCGAGTATAGGTCGCCACCTGCCATTTTCCAAACTGCTCAAAAATGGCAACCTTTACTAAAAAAAAATAATAAATAAAAAAAGTTTATTTTTGGGGTCGAATGGCGAGTATAGGTCGTTGGGCGCCATTTTCCCGAAATGGCACAAACTATACTCTATTTAACTACTCTATTTAACTGGGGATATTCTGACAACAATGAGTCAGTACCCAGCTATTAGTTGTGTTAGCATAATGATAATAGTGATATGGTCAGGGGTTTCTCAGATTTTTTTAGGGGGCAAATGAGTACGCGTTTCAGGACAAAATATTTAAGAAACATATTTTTGGGCTGTAAAAAGTCGTGATACTCTTTCAAAAACTAATTACACTTATTGTCTCTTCATCAAGAATTTCAATAGTTTGAAACCTTTCTTACACAAAAACTTTTGAATAGAATTTATTCCTATTTTGTATTCATTCCTTTCATTAAGTTTTACATTACATGATTACATACTACTGTAATTATGATTATACATAAATTACACTGATTTATTATTTTGAATACATTGAGCTGTCTAAAACCTTTATAAAGTTTAGTTAATTATAAAATTCAAATTATTCTTGTGTGGGGGGGGGAGGGGTCACCCCAGTCCCCCTGTGGGAGTGATGTAACGGACATACCCCAGGCCTAATTATTTCTATGAAACATCATGGTAATAGTTTCTCTACCAATGGACCCAGATTTGTATAAAATTACAAACAGATCTACATAAACCATGTGTCATATTAGATTGATAAATTTGCAAAAAAGACAAAAAAGGCGTTATCTTTTGATTTTGCTTCAACTCCAGAATAACTACATCATCACAATGTCTATCTCAAGATCAACTTAAACATCTTGTTGGATTAAATCGCCGCTATCTCGTAAATCATAAACAATGATTCATAAAGCTGTTTACAGCATGTTATGATTGTAAATTTGTGTTTCTTTTGTCTTTGGTAAAGTTTATTTACCTTTAGTAGTTTTTGATTAATAAAAAAATGTAAATATTTTGTGAAATGTTGAAACCATTGAAAATTATTCGGCCTATATCTTTTCCGTATTTGATTATTTCCTCAAATATTTCAATATATTTGTGTTTACATTCAATACAAAAAAAATTAAAAAAATATAATTTCAGGGTACCTTTTCAAAATGTCTTCAATTCCCCAAGGAGCATTTGCCTCTTTCAAGATTCGTCAAGGAATGGATGGGAAAGGATACAACAAACTTAAAGAAGAGAAGTGCTTCCCACCTGTAAACAAGAAACGTAAGAAAAAATATAATTTTTTAAATCCTGAAATAATTAAACCGTCAAAAATACAGAATTAAAAAGCTTAAATCAATCAAAATATTTTTATAAACATGATGTAAATAAAGTAGAATACAACAAAGGGGTGGTATACAGTGCACAATACTTGAGCTAAGTACACTTTAACAAAGAAAACTTATATTTAAAATAAAAAACTAATAATGTAAACGTATCAAAGCTATGCATCAAGATAAAGTTGAAAACCGATAAAAGGAGTGAAGGTGGAATGAGGTAGTGAGGGGAAAAAGAGGTGTTTATTTAAACTTTACCCAATATAAAACTACCTCCAAAGTTATATGACCTCTTTTATATTATTATCTTGATTTGACTCTGGTATTTAGTAACATTCAATCACATATTTTTCTTTTGCAAATAAAATTATAAATAACAGTTTTACCAATTTATTATTTTTTTACAGTAATGTTAAAAGTTTGAGCAAACATAATAGGGTACCCAATAGAAATGAAAACATTATGAAAAAGGTTAGTGACTGTTCAACATATTCAATTTTTGATTTTATTTAAATAACTTTGTTTGCAGTTGTCGAGCATTCTCCGTTAAAATATAACAGCAAGATGATGAACAGCATTTGGGGACAATACAACCGCTACTCAGTCCATAATATGAAGAAAAACACCGACTCCAACGAAATGCTTCTGTGGGCGGAGCAGCGGCTGTAAGTTAAAAATATAAATAGAAAACCAGTGTTCATTTAGCTTTGTTAAGCCAAAAAATACATGCATCTAAACCAGGATCTTTTTTTGTTTTTTTTTCTTGTTTTAATAGTAGTAACTTCATCCACTGTAGGAAACAGAACTTGCTTGAAAATTACTTGGATTTAAATAGGCTACTAAGGGCTTAGTTGAAGTAATAATCTTTATGACAACAGTCAATGAATCTTAAAAGCTGAATTAATTATTTTTTTCAAATCTAGTGAGTCTCAGTCTCAGTCACTTAAATTAAAGTTTGTCTATAATTTTATACAATCCCATATTGACAACATATGATGCAGCCTCTTAATTTACTGTCATTATCTGGTTTTACTGACGTCAATCTGATTTTGCTCAGTGGGTTCATTATTCTCTCGAGTCATTTACTATATCAGTCAATTAAATTAAAGTTCTCTAGGCAATTTTCAGAAATTGTATGAACAAAGATTTATTTGTTTTTAAATGTTTCTTTTGACCTTGTTAGTTAAGCAAATCGACTGGTGAATAATCATCCTGATATGTCTCACAAACAATACAATCTTTTGGCAAATTTCTCTTTCTTTGGGAGATACAATAGTCTACATTTTTCTTATTATTTTATTTTCAAACACAAAAATCTTGATTTATTTATTTTCAAAGTCCAATCTCCTGATCCATACAGGAGAACTGGTCTGTTAATTGTTTCTATATATTTCACTTTTTTAGTTTTTACTACATAAACTGAAAAAAAACGTGGTAAACATGGGGTGAGGGTAGAAGGGATTCGAGCCCTATTACATAATATGTAATATATTATATTAATGGGCGCCCATGAAGGAGCATTTAACAGTTGTTTAATACAAAATACTACAAACCAAATGGGTTTAAATTATACATTAACTACACCCAAAGAACATCAAAAGTTTCAATGTGAACCTTTTGTAAGTAAATATTGGTTGGTCACCATTTCAACAAAAATAAATTGACAATGTTTATTTGCACCAATATATTTCAACAAAGTCAAAATATAATAAAAGCCCGCTACACGCTTTCAATTTGGCTTGGTTTGAATGATAGATATCAGATCAGCTGATTTAAGGAACTGAACTGATGCTAACACATTTTTATTATCAAATTTCTGATTTAACTCACATCATTTGTACCAACTTTTCCATACACGCAGTCAATTCAGCTTTTCTTTTCAAATTGTTTACATCAAATTGACTAAGACTAACCAAATTGTACAACTGATAAAATTAAAGAGAAAGAGAATTTTATAAAACTAAGCTGTAGGTACTGTTGAGTTTTGTATTTATAGTCAATGGTGGATGCGTAACTCCCTTTTTCAGTAGATTTATGGATCATATATATTCTCCTTCATTCCTGAGCAGTGAACTGTAGTATGAAAACAATTATGCTTCTTGGTATGGCAAAAGTATTTAACCATCAGCTATTCTGAAGGGAAGTGCGTCTTCTAATCATTATCTGACATTCAATTATTTTTCAGGGCTACCGCTACTCCTCCGGCATTCCATGTGCCCGGTTTCACTCCCGACTTCTTCAACTGAGTCGTCTCAATTTTACATTGTAGTGAAATATAGGTAAGAACAAAGATAAACTCAGGTTAATTTAGAATACTTATTTCTTGTTGAGACCACTGATAGATTGTAATTTCAGTCAAAAATTAAATCTACTCTAGAGTATCCCAAACTTGGAATCTAAACTAGAATACATATTGTAGTCAATCCCAATCCACCTGTCATAATTACCACTGTCTTCAGAATTCAACAAGAAATTACACAAGCAAAAATTACTTGATGCATGCCTAATAAATACCCAACAAGTTTCAATTAGGTAAGAAAGGAGAAGATCACAACTTGTGTGAATAAAATAAAATTATACCTAACTGATAGTTTACCAAGAGTTCGACGAACAAGAGAAAGAAAAATCCATTACAGGTGAACAAAAGCAAACATTGATCAAAGTTTGGCCACCGTATAAAATTTCTTAGAATATTTTTTTTTCATTTTAATAACTCATCAATTTCATTTTAATATGTTTGAAACGTTTTTCATTTACACATTACCAAATTGTCCATTGGATCTCTATAAACTTTAAAAATTGTTCCACATGCCTGGGCAGGTTTTTGTCTTGTTATTATTTCAAGCAAGCTACCTAAGTTAGTTTTTGCCGATTTCTAAGCTAACGAAGCCAGCACATTTGTCAATTTCCAAGCAGTCTGTTGGTCACATTGCTGTGTAGAAAAGACCTCTACAAATTAAGAGGGAACGATGGTAGGCAGGAAAATACCCATTCATCCGAATCATGCTTCGAAATAGCTGGTCTGCGCTCGGCAAATGCAGCAAGTGCGGACCCGCCTTAGCAACTTGTAAAATGTATGCTACTGATTAGTTTCCACAAAAGTTTTTTTTATTCTATCAATTTATTGTGACAGAAATCTGGTTAAAACCAATCAAGGAAATGTTTTGTAGAGTAAATAGAGGTAAAATTGGAATTTCTATAAACTACGATGTTACTGTAGTTGTTACACTAAATTAAAAGCATTTTGGCTATTGATACAACTAGACATTCCATCCCAATGTTTAAGTGGTCACCGGTTTAAAAAATCAAAATCGTCGTGGTTGATGTGAGCCAGTGACAGACTGTGCTGATTTAAATTAATGATTTCTGTTGAATAGATTAACACAAATGGAATGACTTATTGTGAGCTATAGCAACATATATGACCCATCAACTAGGTCAGCATCAGCAACCAAAAATGAGGTGAAGAATAGAATTGTAGACACTAGCACAATCTGTGACTAGCTCACACAACTGTTTTTTTTTTAATTTTATTTGGGATTAATAATTACAACTTAAGTCAATCAATCCAGTATGTTTATGGAGGACACACGTTTCGACCTTTAGGTCATCTTCTGCTCCGCTGTTGCACTAGGTTATTACATACTTAGTTGCGTTGTTGGTGTAGCAACCGCGTCAAATAATTTACATTGTGAAACATAGTCAGACCACGTAAACATAAAAACACGACATTGACGAAGACATTTTTGGACAAGTCAGTGCCGCCGCAGTCCCGAGCCCGTTCAGCTGTGCGCACGGTGATAGATTTATTTCAATGTTTTCGTCTTCGTCAATGTCGTGTTTTTGTGTTTTTATGTTTACGTGGTCTGACTATGTTTCACAATGTAAATTATTTGACGTGGTTGCTACACCAACAACGCAACTAAGTATGTAATAACCTAGTGCAACAGCGGAGCAGAAGATGACCTAAAGGTCGAAACGTGCGTCCTCCATTAACATACTGGATTGATTGACGTAAGTTGTAATTATTAATTTAAACATCAATCCGTTTGCTACAAATCAATCATGATTTATTTGGGATGTCTACTTCAGTATCCAATAGTCAATGATTAAATGAACTACTTCAGTATGGTGTTAAGAACTGCACAAATATTTTTTGTGTTCTTAGCAGGTGAAGTGTCAAGAGTATAAATTAATCTATAATTATTAATTTTGTTTTTAGGCAGGCTGGCCACTACGTAGTCTACAGGGGTAACGGGGCACCAATGGAGTACATAAAATAACCACTTATATTGTAAACATAATACGATGATTACAATGTGATTTTTTAATCAGTATTATTTAAAGTATTTTTCGTGTTTTACATTAACCCCTTATAACATTTGAATCTTTTTGAAAATCTCTAAAATATTATTATTATGTAAATAGATTCTATTATTCAATATGAAAACCAAGTATTTTTAAATGAGGAGTTGATCAGTAGGTTTTGAAGCCATGAAGAGCCCTCTATTAAGGATGAGGTGAACCTTTTTAAGGTTATAGGCAGTAGCATCTAAAAGCTAGGTTTCTACTGTACTGTACTTGTATACTGCAACACATCTTGGCAATGGTAATGGTACCAAAAGGAAATTCAATGAAAAGTACCAAATGAATAACTTGCTCTTGGTATTACAGGTATTACCTCCACTATTTTTGTTATATATATTGATCCGACATTTGACTAAAGAAGGAAATTAAACAACTGCCTAACTGCCTTTGGTTTACCGGACGTCACTTTGAATGGGTCGCAACATTAAACGGTTCTGGCTGTTCAGGATCAGTAAGGTTATCCAGACTTCCCATCTCCAACTGGGACAGCTTGCTAAACAGGAATTTATTAACAAAAACAGGTATAGCATGCTATAGAATTGCTAGAGAACCAGGTACAAAAAGTCATCTTTCTCATAATTTCTGTGATTTATTTCTAGCACATACTAATAGATTCCAATCCGTCTCAACTGAATATCACAGAGTTAATATCAGACAATTAGTCTACCTAAATTAACGACTAACTATTAAAAATACATTATAATATATTACAACTGACAACCAAATTGTTACTGTCTAAAATCTACAGTCAAGCTCAGGAAGGAAAGAATGATGGCTTACAAAATAAGTGAAAACAAACAATAAAATTATGAGATTCAAATATAGATTCAAGTCAATAGGTATGTCATAACGTGGTCATGTTACAGTTCGCTCAAATGTCTTTTACAATCAACAAAGTATATTTCTGGTAGTTTAATGGTTTTAACGGGTATGACCAAAAGTTGAGAAACTAATATGACACTCTGATCAGGTAAAAAATGTATTTCAATTAGATCATTTAGTGAAAACAATGGACGGAGCTAGACCTTCACCATGTGAAAATACTTGCGATGATATGAAAGTATGACCAAGTTTTCATCTCAACAAAAACAGTTGGTCTTCAAATTGAAAACCAGTCAACAGCAGCATGCTTAAGGCACTTGAATTTTCTTCTTCAGAAACAACAGTAAAAACGTCTGAAGTCCATCAGAAACAAAGAACAGTCCAAGGTTAACTTATAGGAATTGTATCATAAGGAAAGTAATGTTTTGCAAGGTAGAATACAGACTTAAAACAACTAAACAGAACAGGGCGAGTTTCTATTAAGAGATTGCACCAAGTTGTGAACGGGGATGGAAATTTTCTTTTAGATAACCAAGATGGCTACAAATATTGAAAGGCGATATTACCAGGAGGCAATTGTATGTACAACCAATTAAACAAATTATCTTGGTAAAATTTCAAACGAGGACTCGTCTTCATTAACAACTAGGCTACTTAAGTTAATTTTAACTAATTTTTACTAACTTTACTTGTGCTAAAATTGGTAACGATTTCTACAATGAATACACAGAAATAGAAAAGTACAAAAGCTCGTTATCAAACCCTTATTTGTTTACATCAAATACTGAGTATAAAAAATACTGCTTGTAAAGGTAAAAAACTCAATCGGCTCAGTTATTTTACCCGAATTAAACTCTCAACAAATTTTAGTAATCTTAGCAACAACATTTTTCAACACCAAATATAGTTTTAGGCTACCAACATTAACGTCAACAGTTGATAAACATAACCAGCTCTTCAACAATGATATGAAATGCAACTCTGGAGGTATAAAGCTAGCTAAATACAACAATTAACATTTGACACATGAAGACTTGTCGTAAGGCACATAGTGTTGTACTGGACACACCAGTTATTGTCTCAGTGGTCACATCCCGGACTCTGCAATCCCTTCATCATCTGAAACATAAATATGATAAGTTAAAACTGCGTGTTATCTCGAAATTCACGTTTTTCTAGAGAATTTTGAAAATGGGAAGTTGGTAGTTTGACGTGGGGTTGTACTGAAGCATCATCCAGGTGAAATAACAAAAAAACTAGGAAGACTCTGTTTTCATTGCAAGATTTATTTAGCAAGATGTGTTTTTATTGCCCTTTCAAAAGTAAATAGTTTTAGTTTGTGTACAAAAATGTAAAGGTGTGAAAATGGAACTCTTAACATTACTTATAAGAATTAGCTACAATCAAGGACCAGTTGAACATGTTTTACTTCCCCTTTGAATATTCCGCAACAATGTCAACAATAATAAATGTAAAAATAAATCAGTAATTAGAATTCTTCATTATTGTGTAGGGAGTAATACATGTTACATTTAAACAACTGCACCAGCTGTTTGTATGTAAACAGGAACCATTGTTATAGCTTATTTATAAAAATTAATTAAGTACAACATTTACGTTTTGTGAATCAGTTAGCTTAACAGTGCAGTATAATAAACAATTTAGTTTATCACACAGACTAAATGTCTCTTCAACCTCCGCTCATTTTCCGACGTCGGTTGTTAAAGTACAGTTCATGTCAAAAAGAGTTACTTTAGGCCTTGGTAAATGCATTATAATATGCTAGTAGTTTTTTTCATTACTAAATTGTTCAATTCATTTTAAAGCTTTTGTTTATGAAGTTAAGGCAAGATTCAGATAAATTGGGTTCTAATAAACTACTGGAATTACTGTAAAACTCTTTCATTACCACTCTTTTTTTAAGGTACATTCAAGAAGGTAAAAAAAATCTTATCTTTACCTTATAACAAACACAAATATCAAGTGAAAATTTGTACAAAAGAAAAGATTGGAAGAGATGATAACCCTTAAAAAACGTGCAGTAGTATTCATAATTTATTGTAAAAACTTATGTTTAAATTTACATGTTGTATTATGTTAAATATTTGCTATAATTATTGTTTAGTTCATCAAACTAACTGATTTCCTATATGAAGGAAACACAACAGTCAAAAGAGTACTTCAAGATTTATGAAAAAGTACTCCTGTAATTAAACTAAACATGCCTTAGTTAATTTTTTTTTACAATTGAATTTCTATTTCAGGTTTTGTTAGTAAATGTTCAGTACACAAAGAGATGCAGTCTAAAACAAACTTCTGGCAAGTAGTAAATTGTTGTTAGGAGACAAGTATATTTTGTTACATCCATACAAAACCTACAAACATCCTATGATAAATTATTTGTATGTTTTAAATACACCTAACTAACTGTTTTGCAAGGAGGTAACCTTTAGTAGGCATTATACATTTGATAATAACACAATATGGATCGAAAATATTTTTGAGAGGTTGGTGGTCTGATGGTAAGTTTCATTTTACAGTACTCAAAATGATACCCCCCACCAAAAAATAAAAAATAAAAATTATATTTTCCTTACAACAATTTTGGGGACAAAACTTATCATGTAACCCCCAAAACTGCAAGTATAACTATAATAACAAACTTATATTAGCTGTCAAATGCATAATTTTAAGTTGCAAATGGGTCTGACTTAGGGGAGGTACGATTGAGGCATTAGTTCAAAATTCCTCCGTGAACAGCGCTGTAGTAGAGAGCACTTTGGCAATGAAGGTTTAAGTTACTAATCGCAAAAATAGTTCTGTTCATAAAATAAAATTATAAATGCCTCAAATTTAATTTTATTATTTTTTAATTATAAAATTAAACTATCATAACCTAACCGAACTAACCAAACTTGCTGATAATGAAAAACTCTTGGACAAAAAGTTAATATTACTAGCGGGATTTGAACCCGGGACCTTCAGCATATCAGCCCGGCACGCTAACCACTAGACCACCGAGGCCGATGGTTCCAGCTCGTATTGTTACGGTAATGGCGTTCCGTCAGCTAATAAGAAGCCCACAGCTGTCATCGTAGCCTCTTCTGCACCTCCCCTGAGTAAATACCGTTGCAAATAGTCCAGGCATCTGTCACGATCGCCAAAAACTTTTGCTATAAATTTTTCATTGCTACAGCACTATATTTTTGGATGTAAGGAACATCCAAGATTTTCTTCTCCTGTACAGAACGTTTAAGAATTGAAGGAATTGTTCTTTAATTATTGATGTTTTCTTTACTTTTTAATTGAAAATCCGCTAAGCTACACCCAGACATTTCCATTAGCATTCAATTATGTAAATATAACCTAACCCCAGCTGAAAAAACAGCTACATGCACCCCAAATATTCTTTACTTTGGCTAAGAAGGGTACTTACTTGTATTATTGAAGCCCAAATCTTTAAACTACCAAGAATAATAACTCAAGTGATATCAGTTGACATTAAAGATTAGGTTGAATTAGTATTTGAATTAATATTTAACTAAGTATTAAATTAATATTTAAATAACTATTTAAGTGGCCTAGTATTTGGGCATTGAAATCGGATCAAGAAGATTGTCTGTAAAAAAAGGTTTCTAGAACACCAGTTGCGACGTAGTCTAAATCTGACACTAGGGACTTGTTCGGTAATTCCCAACTACTGTTTTATCCCCACCTCTATACAACAATTTAGGATAGGGATCAGCTAGCTTACCTGGTAGACAGAGTCCAGATTAGCCTTGGTTCTGTTTAGGGAAATGTTTTTATGTGTTAAAACATTTCTGTTTAGTTGAAAACTAAGTATTCTGTTTTGTGTTATGTATATTATGTGTTTTGTGTTTTATGTGTGAACCAAGACTAATCTGGACTCTGTCTACCAGGTAAGCTAGCTGATCCCTATCCTTGTACGTAATAATCCTAATCAGCCAATTGGCCTTCCCTTAACTTCTTTCCTGATAGACAATTTAAAATCTTTTCATGGTACTTTTACAGGATGGGATACCAATGTCAATTTCTCAACAGCTGATTGATTTCATGCTCCCATTATTTAAATAATTTGTTAGTTGTTGTGTTACATTTTAAATTACTAACATGGTTACAGACGAGACAACAAACACAAGACAATGCACAAGCTACAACAAGACAACAGATACAAGTTACTAGGTTTACCCCGTCACCGCTGTTTTTCTGCGTCAGGCAATTTTTCTAAAGCTTCTGACTTCGGTTTACCTACAATTAACACCAAACAAAACTTAACAGTTATACTTAATAGAGTCTGTAAAATCATGTATTGGGTCAGAGTAAATTTATTTAATAACAGCCAATTTGATACACAAAGTTTAGGTTAACACATTGAGTACAGGCTACATCTATTGATGAAGTGCCTCACGAGTGCTCCTATTGGCCTACATCTATAGATGTAGTCACGCCACTCCCTACATTAGTTCGGTATAAGCCCAGCCATTGCCGGGGAACGTTAAAATCTTTGCCAGCCAGTAGCTTTATTTTGGTGAAGGTTTTGGTTTGGTACTAAAATTTCCCTTAAAATCCCTTTTAGTCTGGCAATGCTTTTGTCCCGGTTTTGGGATTTTCTCTCTCCGAGCCATATTACAAAGACACTGGCTACGGATCCAGGCAGTGCTGCTACCTTTTGTTGTTGAACTACGTCCACTGTTAGGGTAACGCAGCACAATCACCACTGATCTTTTGTGATTCGTCAGACTGAAATATTTGAATGCCAATTGCGTTCGCTGATTCAGTGGCGAGCCGGGGCTTCGCCCGTGCCTCGCCGCCATTGTCGAGCGACTGTTTTTAGGTTTTCAGAACTCAACGTGTTAAATGATTAAAATTTCAAAGTTAAGACATCCCATGGTTGAATATTACCAAACCAGTAATTAGTGTGTTAAATAAATCACTCACTGTTGTAATTTCAATCTGAATCAGTTTCTTACATTAGAATTAAAAAGACCAAATGGGAAAACTAAACTAGTTATTTAAAATAACAAACATTATATTATAAAAATTGGTTATTACAAACACTCTTGTACAATATTTTTTTACAAGATATTCTTGATATTAGGGTGGTTTTCACATGATTAATTTACATTCTTTAACTAAGGCAGGTTTAGCTAAATTATCGCTACCCTTCAAAAATAATGTACTCTCTTAAAGCTAAATAAATTTTAAATTAACAAATATAAGGAATAATATAAATCTGTATAGAAAAAGTATACCTTTTTTAAGATAACTGACTTAGTTGAGGACATTAAAATTACTCAAATAAAAAAGTATAAGGTTACCAGTACATGTGTTAATGTTGGACCGATCTTTTGTTTTAAAATACAAACATAACATATAACACAAAATATCTAACGTTTACTAATAGACACAAACACAGACTAGACACAAGAGCTTAAAACTTCTGACAAACTCCATTTAGGATTTTTGTACAGCTAGACAAATTAACCTAAAGATGTTCAACTCTGCAGCTTGAAACAGCTGTGGTCAAATTAAATTAAACATCTTATATTACAGGATTGGTCCAACACAGGCGACCTAAATCTTCACTTTGTTAATTCCGTTGATTCAAAAGCCACATCATAAAATTATTAATTAGTTGAGGTAAAAAAAAACACAATATGGTATAAATATTGTGGAAGAGAATTAAAAGACAATAAAAAAAAGTTAAAACTGATTTTCTAGGAAATTAAATGTTTCACCTCTAATCAATTCAAAAGCAAATCAAGATGAAAGGAATCCAAAACAACCTCTTAATTCTGACAATCAGAAAACAAATTTTTGTAATATCATTCAATGAATACAAACCCTTTAAGAAGCGAAGTGCTAATGGAGAATAGTCAGACTGGAATTTTGCTGCCGAAATGCTGCCGGCAGCCGTGCTTCTCTCTATCTCTCTCTCTCCCTCTCTAAGCTGCTAATTTGTCTCACTCTCTCTCACTCAGTCTTGGCCACGCGCTCGCAATAGTCTCTAACGGTCGCCGCAGAAACTATCCAAAATTCAAATATTCCCAGACTGATTTTTTACAAAGGCATTGCGCTTCTCATATTTTTTGTATTCATTGGTAATATTTTAGTAAAGAATTTAGAATTAATGAAAAAAATTAAAATGTTTTCATACGTAGTTAAATGTTACACCCTTAATTGACTCAATATCGACATCAAAGGATTCCAGTAACAATCCGCAAGACTTGACAAGTTCAACGTACCTTCAAACCCCTGGTTGTGATGTATCTCGCGAGTGTTGCCGTTGCCTTCGTTCCCCTCCAGTACGGCCAGAAGACACTGGTGAATGCAGATGTACTGCTGTTCCGTCTGTACCATCCACACTCTCTCCTTCCTCATCTGCCACACGATGCCGAAGATGTCCACCACTTCTGTTTTGTTGATCAGCTGGAGCAGACGGTCCAGAGCGATCAGTGTGCCCGACCTCCCAACACCGGCGCTGCGGAATACATGTCAACTTAGTGATTCATCATGTATGGACATTTTAAATTTTTATTACACTGACAAGCACGTAGAACCAGCGAGTTTCAATGATTATGTCACAACCAAACATCCCTTAGGTTTATGTTTAAACATTTTGGTTTAGTCCATGAAAGGGGATCCAAGATATAGGCCTAGACTTAAAGTGTAACCTAGATTAAAATAAACCTTTTCATCTGTTTCCATCTTCAAAGTGTCTACCACCACTCATTGTCTCATGGCTAGAGAGACAATAGGGACTTATACTAGTGAGGTAACTTCTTCTTCTTAATGTGGGGCATTCCAATGACAAGAGACGGATCCTACCCACTATTTGAATACAACAAAAGAACTACAGAGCACAATTCTCCTTGGTGCGCACAGAAAATTAACCAGACTCACCTGAGTCTGGTTTTGTCCTTGGCCGGCCTCACGCGCATGTACATGATTTGTAATTATAAATGTTTTCATGTGTGTTTATGTGTATGTGTGAAGTAATTTTGACGACGGCTTATGCAAGAGAATATGTTTGACATTTGACGACTGAAGAGAAGATTTGAAAATGGTGTTTTAACCCCGAAACTATAGTCATCCAAGACAATAGAGGACTGATTGACGACAGGTTAGTAACCTCATTTTATGTCAATAGATCAATCCTGGAGGCAAATTATGTATAAAAACAGAAAATTAGGCGAAAAGCCAATGACAATATCACGTTGTGACAACACTAATTGTCCGATTTAATTTCATTCCATCTAGCCAGTGACAACGATTGCATGCTGCTACGTTAGAGTAACACATTACTGAGGCTGTGCAGACTAAGCAAAGTCTGTATCTATCAACGAGGGTTAACTGTAAAAACCAACTATTTTATGACAAACCCTGTTGTTATCAGAGGTGTGCGAAGCAGAAAACATTTTCAATTTGATGCAACGATTTGATTGAAATAATTTTCTATTCAAATCAATGTACTGTATTTTGATTCAAAGCAACACAGCATTTTTTCTCCTGGTGCCCAAATGAATGCTCAAAGTTCAATAATCGGCCCCTTCCCTCATGAATAAATTAGAATTAGATATTTTGATTACCATAGAATCAAATTAAATCAAATCAAATCAAATCAAATCGTTTATTAAGCCAGAATTAACAAAATATTTTACAATTTGTATTGGCTAAGTCATCATTACAACTATTTACAGAGATCTTATGCAGTACTAAAAGCTATACAGTTCTATATACATATTTAAGCTACATCACTATTCATCGAGCTGATTTTATTTACAAATTCTTGGACGCTGTAACAGGTAAACTTTATCAACAAAGATTTTAATTGCTTTTTAAATTTTAGCAGGTTTGGTTCAAGTTTGAGGAAGTGGAAGTGAGTTAAAAAGTGTTATGCCATTGTACAGTAAGTGCTTCTTGAAAAATGTTGTTGAATGTTTAGGAATTGGTAATGTGTGTGAATTGCGCAATGTGTATTGGTGTTTTACAGAAAAGTCAAATTTAGAAAATTCTTGTTTCACAAATGTTAAAGATTCAAGAATGTAAATAGATGGGAATGTCAAAATTTTTGAATTAAAAAAATATTTACGGCATGATTTACGCCTTTTTAGAGAGAAAACAGTTCTCACAGCCATTTTTTGGAGTTTAAACAACATTTTAGTCTGCTGGCACTCGCAACCCCAAATAGGAACGGCGTATGCTAAGTGAGGATAAATTAGCCCATAGTATGCCGTCAACAATATCTCCAGATTCTCATTGTTCCTGAGGTTACGCAGAACGAAAATACCAGAACTGAGTTTTTTTGAAATGTAATTGATATGGTCATGAAATCTAAGATTCTCGTCTAAGATCAACCCAAGGAACTTGACATTTGGTGTAGGGTGGACCTCAGTTTCATCCAGAAGGAGACTAAACCCACTGTTTGATCGGTTTGAATGATTTGATAAGCGGAAGTTAATGAGCTGTGTTTTGTCTGTGTTGATTTTCAATAAACTGTCGCCAAACCATTGAATTATAGCGTTTGCATCCAAAAAACTAATTTGTTCCAGATTTAGAAAATTGGAGCTAGAAACTGAGAGAGAGGTGTCGTCGGCGAACAGGGATAACTTTGAGGAGGTTATGCAGGAAGAGAGGTTGTTAATAAAAAGAAGGAAAAGGACTGGTCCCAGGACGGAGCCCTGAGGTACCCCCCTAGCAACAGAATTCTCAGCAGAAGGGTAGGCTCTAACGCACCCAGCCTCATCAACTGCTCTTATTTCTACGTATTGCCTTCTGCCACAAATGAATGACCTGACCCAATCTAAGGCCGCTCCTCTTACGCCCACATTACTCATCCTATCGAGCAATAAGTTATGGTCCACTGTGTCGAACGCCTTGCTCAAGTCAAAAAACAAACCAGCCGAGTAGTTTGCAGCATCTAATTCACAAACCACCTCATTTATCAGTTGAAACATCGCTGATGTAGTAGATTTACCCTTAGTAAATCCATGCTGGTTTTCGGATATAATCTTATTTATTGTCAAAAAGTCCCATAGCCTAATCACCATGATTTTTTCAAATATCTTTGAAAATACAGACACAACTGATATGGGCCTATAACTGTTGCAGAGCTTTGGATCTCCCTTTTTATATATAGGCCTGACCACTGACACCTTCAGCGCATTAGGAAATGATCCACTGGTGAATGACATATTAATTAAATGGCATAGAGGTTTTACCAAATACGATGCAACCTTTTTTAGTAAAAATGGAGATATTTCATCAGCCCCTGAAGACTTTTTGTTTTTTAAGCCTTTGATAACATCTAAAATTTCTTTTTCGGTAGTTGGATGTAGAAAGATTGAATTAAAATATTTCTTATTTATATCTGTATTTTTGGATGAAGCTGCCTTTGAGTCTTTGCCTGTGTCTGAAAAGAAATGGTTAAACTCATTGGAAATGTCTTTAGGGTCTGTGATGTCTTCACCATTGTCAGTTTTAAGAGATATTTCGGTGTAACTTTTTTTGGCTGATGGTCGTTTATTGTTTATCATATTCCATAGAATCTTAGCTTTATTGTCTGATTTTTTTATTCTGCGTAGAGTGTCTTCTGACTTAGTTTTTCTTATTAGGCGTCTATACTGATTTTTTAAATTTTTGTAACAGTGAACCAGGTAGTGAGAAGATTCAAGATTTTTTGTTTTATTGTATAGGGCAAACAGCTGCTCCTTCAATTTTATTATCTCAGGCGACTGAATCTTTTTACTATACGTATTTTTAGGGATGGACGGGTCCCGAAATTTCGAAAACATTTGACTCGGGAATTTTTCGGGACGGGATTTGGTCCGATCGTCGGCGATTTTTCCGCTTCGCGAGTGCCGATAACGCCGTTATTGCGAGCGATAGGTCCGCGAACGCAGGAGACAAAGTCATTTCGACGATTATGCCGTGACCGCGGAGTCCTACCGACGACCGCGCCGTGACCGCGAGTCATACCGACGATCGCGCCGTGACCGTTGAGTCCTACCGACGATCGCGCCGTGACCGCGGAGTCCTACCGACGATCGCGCCGTGACCGCGAGTCATACCGACGATCGCGTCGTGACCGCGAGTCATACCGACGATAACCCCGTGACCACGGAGTCATACCGACGATCGCGCCGTGACCGCAAGTCATACCAACAATCGCGCCGTGACCGCGGAGTCCTACCGACGATCGCGCCGTGACCGCGGAGTCATACTGACGATCATGCCGTGATGGCGGAGTCATGCTGACGATCGAGCCGTGATCGCGAGTCATACCGACGATCATGCCGTGACCGCGAGTCATACCGACGATAACCCCGTGACCGCGGAGTCATACCGACGATCGCGCCGTGACCGCAAGTCATACCGACGATCGCGCCGTGACCGCGAGTCATACCGACGATCGCGCCGTGACCGTGGAATCATACCGACGATAACCCCGTGACCGCGAGTCATGACGACGATCGCGCCGTGACCGCGAGTCATGACGACGATAGCGCCGTGACCGCGAGTCATGACGACGATCGCGCCGTGACCGTGAGTCATGACGACGATCGCGCCGTGACCGCGATGTCATACCGACGATCGCGCCGTGACCGCGAGTCATGACTACGATCGCGCCGTGACCGCGAGTCATACAGACGATCACCCCGTGACCCGCGAGTCACAAGTTTCTATAGGTACCTGTAAATTGTTACCCATTTTTTGGTTTTTATAGATCAGTGCCACAAATGGTAAAAATTGATTTCTTATGTCTTTTTTGGTAACTGCAATACAGTACTTTCTTTTTATGCACAGAAAAAAATCCCGTCCCGTCCCGTCCCGAAAATCGGGAAGGAAATAAAAATCCCGTCCCGTCCCGTCCCGAACTAAAAATTCAATCCCGTCCATCCCTACGTATTTTTATTGATTTTATTGTGCTTTTTTGGGAAGGAAATTTCAAATGAATGTTTAACCTTGGACAGAAATTCGTCAAACTTAGTTTGCAAGTCTGCTGCATTAAAAACTTCATCCCAATTTTCTTTAGAAATTAGGTATGTAAACAAGTCAATATTAGAGCTGGAAAACAATCTTTCATACTTAAAACAGGCTTTCGGAGCTAAGGGAGTATTGATATGCAGAGTCGCTGTTTGAGCGCTGTGATCTGATAAGCCTGCGAATATTACAGACCCGTCGACGTTGCTTATGTTTGTAAAAACGTGGTCTATGAGACTACGAGACCCATTGACTTCTCTAGTATAGGTTTTTATGATATTATGCAGATCAAATGATGCCATGTATGACGTAAGCTGATGAGCGAGAAGTGTATCACAAGCAAGATTGATGTTTAAATCACCCATAACTAAGATTGCAGAGTGGCGATTATAATACTTGTTGATACATTCAGTTATTCTACTAAAGAAGTCTGTGTGCGTGTTTGAAGGAGGTCTGTATGTTGCCAATAACAAAATTTTCTCATTATTGTCTACGGTTATTGACACAGCGGCAAGTTCACAAGTGCCCTCTTTGGAAAACTCACTACAATCAAGGGGCTTGCAATTGAGACCTGGTTTGGCCCATATGCCCGCACCACCACATTTCATTTCCGATCTACAGAACGATGTTATGCATGTGAATTCGTTTATTGTAGAGTTTTCAGCTTCTTCTGCTTTTAAGAAGTGCTCGGTTAAACAAATAAAATCTGGACTCTCATCTTCTACAAATATCTCCAACTCATTTATTTTACTCAATAATCCTCTTATATTTTGATGTATGAACTTAAGACTTGTGTGCGAGGACCCCACCCTCCTCTGAGATAGGTTGCCCATGGGACTTCGGGTGGTTTTCGTGCTTCCCCTAAAAAATGTTTATTGACAAAAACACGTTTGGTAGATGATCTATGGGCTTGGAAAGAACTGAATCTATTATTAGTAGGAATTGTGTCGGAAGGGATTTTCTGTGACTTTAAGGTAGTGGTAGCAGGAGGGGGGCAGGTGATTGGGGGACGTACTCCAGGTGGAATTGTTAAGGAAGCAACTAATAGTTCGGCTAGGGCTACTTTTCCTCTCATGTTGAGGTGTAACCCATGTTTGGTGAACTGGTGGCGGGATAGAGACTGCAGTGATACAAAGGAGACATGTTGGTGACGATTTGACAGGGATAAGAGGTCATTATTTACTCTGTCCACAACAGGGTTCATGGAAGGAGAGTCATGTCTAGGTGGTAGGCCAACAAGAATAATCTCAGGATTTGACACAATTTTTAAGAAAGAATCTAGCTCCGGCAAAAAACTGTTACAGCGTCCAGTCATATCAAAATTGTTGGTACCGGCTATAATAACAATTACATTTCCACTACCTAGACGTCTGTCTTTATCGATACCAGCTAGTACCTGTTCCATATTACCATTAGCTTTAACAGTACCAGACACATTAAACCTACTTTTTAACTTCCCCTCTAAGATCCAAGAGAGACCCCTACCGTGACTATCACTATATATTTTCAGGTGTGGTAAGGTCTCGTGAGAAGGATTATTAGGCTCAGGTCTAGGGCTCGGGAGAGAGGTATTAGGCTCTACTACAAATGTATTTATTATTTTTTGTTTTTTTGACTTACTCTCCTTTTGTTGTTTTTTCTTAGATTTTGAGATAGGTTTGTGGAGGGGGTGGAGAGGTTTTAGTACATTTACATTATTATTTTCCCTATCAAGAACTTTAAACCGATTAGTACAGTTGACAACGGTTTGCTTGTGAGAAGACATTTTAACATTGAATTTACTTTGTTTCCTGTTCTTTCTTTTTACCTTTTTCCATTTTTCAGGGACATTCATTGATGTCTCAATACAATTGACACTGTCTGAGATAGTCTCATTAACACCGTTAACACTATTTCCAATGGTTGGTTCTACAAGAGGGAGTACTTTAGATACACTTGCTTGGGACTCAGATGACGAGGGATTGTCATTAGCTAAAATATTACAAGATACCTCGTTGAAGCCTTTATACCAGTCAACAAATGAAAACTCTTTCCCCAAAGTCAGGTTTGTGCAAAAACCCTCGTAAATGAACTTGGTATTCACCAGAACACTTAGACCACATTCGTATTGATTTTTTTGCTGAGTACAACTCAACTCATGGAAACAGCTATCTTTAAATCCAAGTTTAGAAACTACATGTTTTGCAGCAAGTGAATTTGTAACTTGGAGAGAGTCTAGATGGTATGCTAACTGGCGGGATATATCGACAAACAATAGACTCCAGTGCGTACCAGTGTCATCCTGAAGAGTAGCTAAGTTATTACTAATACATAAAAAAGCATAGTTTACTTGATGGAACTTTAAGTCAGCTAGAAGATTTTTTACATCATTAGTAGTTCCATGTTTTACTACTTGTGTCACAGAGGGGCCCATAAACAATACTCTGGAAGATGCATCATTCTCACTAAAGGACTGAAAATAGTCATCAAGAATAGCATCCTCAACCCATCTACTTTTAAGCCAGGAATTTTCCTCTGCTTTTTTAACTGAGGATTTTAGTTTTGTGGCAAGATCAGTCAATTCTAAATTTTGTAGTCTGCTAGTTTCCAAGTCTACGTTAAGCTTAGCAATAGTTTTATCATTTAGTTCAATAACAGACTTCAAGTGCAAATATTCATCAGTAATGTTATTTAGCTTAGACTTAACACTAATTAGACTAGAGGACATGATACATTTTTCTTTTAAAGCATTGTCTTTTTCTTCGCGGATGACATCCAGTTCATTAAAGGAAGCATTTAGATCGCATTGTCGTTGTTGTTTTTCACGATCAAGCCGGGATTCAAGAGTTAATATATCACATTGGAGGTCTTTGATCACTGCTCTAGCGTTATTATCTGAAGTTAGCACATCATCCAAACGCTGTAGCAATTTACATATACCTAATTGGATATCAGTCAAAATAATATCTTGGTGATTTGCTTCTAACTTTTTTAAGTCCAGGCAGAGATTAGAGACCAGCATCTCTGTTTCCAAGTCAATGTTACCTGAACTGGCGAATGTTTCTTCAATTATATTTGCAGTAGTGCTCGACATACCACGTGTCACCACCATTTTACAGCGCATATACTGCTTAAAATGGTGTATAAGGGTCACTGTGTATATTCGTTAGGTGACGAAGAGTCCAACCCCTTCATAAAAGTAAATGCATGCCTGCAGCACAGTCAGGTGATGAAGTTGCAGCGCAGAAGTTGAAGGCGCAACATAAATCCTTCACAGCGGCTAGGTAGGCAGCGCCAGTCGGTCGTCAAACAGCGGTTAGTGACAAGCGGACATTAAACTGCGGCGGACGCCCGACAGTTGGCAGCGGCGCACGACGTCTGCGCAGAACGTCAATATGTAGCGAAGATGGAGACGTCTTTCTTCAACTGGTTGAGCTGATGTTAGTTACTGAGTGTGACAATCAGTTACTTACAGACGTCTGGCATCGTTTGTAGACGACACTGGTCCTCCAAATATCAATAAAGCGTTGAGACACACTAATAAATATAGTCACTGCCAAATAACAGAGATGAAACACAAAATAAATGCAGAGTCAAAATCCGTGCCAATCTACTGCAGACCAGGTCTGCCAATCAGAACTAAATAGGAATTGCAATTCAATTTCAATACATCGCACACCCCTACCTGTTTTACTGAGGATATTACCTGCAGTGAACCACAATGGGCCGCTGGTCGTGTGGTACTTTTTCTCTGAAGGCTCGGACGAACCGTACCAGAGTCTGAGGAGGGTTGGGAACACCAAAGTCTGGCCACGTCGTGAAATGGAAGTGTCTGATCACACGAGACTGGTCTCCCTGCAGAAAAACATTGGGTAACAAACAATACTGCAAGTTGTAGGTAAAATCAGGTACGCCAGTAAACATAGGCAAATTGTTATGAAACTGAAACACCATCAAGTGCTCTTTGCAATGCAATGCTTTTTTCATTATTTTGAACCATTTGAGTCTGGAGATTTTTCCTTAATTAAATTAAGACTTGATAATAAAGACTGTCAATAAAGAAAACAATTACTTGGCAGACTGAAAATTAAGTGTAAAGACAAAATCCTAAGGATAACGATATGGCACTAAACTTCAATCAGATGACGACAGAATAAAGAACAGACGCTTTGTCACGAGGCGAAAAACCTACGGAGGTTTCAATGGCCGAAGATGGAAGGTAAGGTTAATTGTACTTATTTTGATTGTATACTCCCCATTCTATGAAAACACACTCACACACACAGCAAGTAATGAGTAAAAAGTAAGTAAATGCCTTATTTGAGGTGAAAATCACACAAATTCACTCATCATGTAAATTTTCATCCTATTTATTTTACGTGGGTATCTCCTGTTAAGCTCTACTAAAAAAGGTGAACTAAAAGATTGCACACCCGATGGGATTTGAACTCTTGCTTTACAGTGCTGCCTCCTGGCAAAAGAGAAATGCCTAGATTACTAAATGTTGATCAGACATTGTGGTCCACCCTACTAAAAAATATCCGTACACCAAAAGCCCAAGTGCATTACTTCTACACTACATCAAATTATGATGCTATACATCAAAAATCAATGTTAGGTGGTAGAAATTCCAGGGTTTGAACCCTGGTCGTTCCCTTACACCCTTTGTATGTTCCCCTAACATTCCCTTCTTAAAAATTCCCTTAAAAACAACGATAAAAATGCTAATGATGTAGAAGCGCAAAATAGAAATTATCTAAGTATTGATTTCACGTTTTCAGCCATTTTTATAAGCTCACATAAATAGTTGTAAGTGAAGAATTTGTTATGCAACTAAAGATGGCAAATATCGGTCATTACGTTCACAGGTTAAAAAGGTATTTTTTCACCATCAGCAAGTTTGGTTGGTTAGGTTAGGTTATGATAGTTTTAATTTATAATAAAAATATTTAAAAATATCGATTATTATTTTCAATTCGATAGTTTCAATCAATATTAGCATAGCCCAGTTAAGAAACTGTACCCCAAGTCCAAAAGTAAATACATCATGGAAAGCAATTCACAACACTTTGCTAGAGTTTTCATTCAACAAACCTACAAGAATTAAAATTCATTTCCATTCTAGCTCCTGAGCTGTTGTATTCAATATAATAAATAGGTTACATACCTTATAAATCCGACAAAACAGCTCATTTTAATTGAAGGAGCATAGACTAGATACAAGGAGCATAGACCAGATCCTTGTAATACAAAACAAAAATCATCGTTTGCTCAACATTTGGTCGATAAAAACCATGATATGAACGATATTAGTAAAGGCCTTGAAATCCTACATGTTTGCCAAAAGGGAAGCAGACTTAACACTCTCGAAGAATTCAAAATTTATAAGGCACAGGTTAATGAGAACAACAATTTTGAGAGCGTAATTCTGAACGAAAAACTTAAATTCAAATCCCATCACATTTTCAATAGCATATTAAAACAAAGCCAGAGTTCGACGCCCATTGGTCAGCAGTCCACATCAGCTGATAAGACAACACCAACACAACTAGTCCAGTCTGCATCCTGACCTTGACAACGGTGTGCGTGCGTCCTGCCCGTGTATTTAATAGGCCTATTTAAAGTATTATTTGTTTTTCGTAATGTTTTCGTCCCGTCCGTGTGTATGTGTTTGTGTATGTACTTTTAGTAGAAAACAATGACAAGGATTTTACCATCCAGCTGCGATGTTTTGAAAATGGCCGATACAAGCCGAAACATGTAAACGACCTTCAATTAAAATGAGCTGTTTGTCGGATTTATAAGGTATATAACCTATTTATTATATTAAACCTACAAGAGTTAGGATGTCTACTCACCCTGCACATAACCATTTCCGTGATGCTCCAGTCGGGGTAGTGGCTGTCGTTGAGTATTGTTACAGAAATGTCCCCGTAGAACGTCCGCATCGTGTCATACGGCCAATAGTGGTCACACTTCTCTCGGCCCTGCAGTAAAAAAGGTATTCAGTAATAATCCTGCTCAAAATAGCTCATAATTTTTTCTTATTACAACATAGAAGAAGACATGATATTAGGTAATTAAAACTTTTCTAAAGTTCAAATATTGAAATAATTTTCATAGCATGAGAAAGTTTTTATTTTTTTATTTTACTATTGAAAAAATATTATCAATTATTCTAGTTCTTTGTATCATTGCCACCTTCCACATACCTTCTCGATGCAGCGAGTCAGCATTATAATGGCTCGTGAGTTGCTCTCCCAGCACATGCGCCAGAAGTCGTCTCGCGTCGAGTGCAACGGTCCCTGAGTTACTATAAACTCCCTGGGGGAGTTGAAGCCCTGCAATATCACATTAAAACTGATTACAAACTAAATTATCAAAGATTAAATCTGGTTTTCTACTTAAAAATAGACCTTTGGCTTCAAAAATGTTGGTTGTTCAACTGAAATGGAGTGTGCTGCTAGTCTAGTGGTTAGCGTCCCACTAAAATATGGAGGGGTTTGATTCCCTGCATATCCACAAAAAGGTTTGAAACAATTTCATACAATAAATATGCAGCTTGCATAGACACTGAAAAATACGGATAGAATTTGAAAACAATAAAATTGAAAAGGAAGCCTGCTAAAGAGCGTCTTGTTAAATACAAGTGTTATATAACTGACTATATAAGTCACAAACCTCTGAAACACAAATTTCTATTCAACAAAAGACTGGTGTATGGATAGAAGTTTATATAATTGGTCAGTGGGTTGATTCCTAGTTAATTGCCAGTACACTTGTAAGTATTTGTTGACATACAATAAAACTTCATTTGGGTTTTCATTCAATTCAATAGAAAGCAGAATTGTTATTAAAACAACACATTATGTGGTGATTTTCCTGTGTATCAAGAATGAATACGGTGTTAAATTAAAAATCATATTTGTTTCATTTAGGCCTACTTAGTTATCTCACCAAAAGGAAAAGATGACAGTTGAAGTACCAATTGAATGTGGAAAGTCATAAGCTGTTTTATTTTACTAATGAACAACCTACCTACTGCATTTCCAAATGTTTCCACACAAAGCACTTACCGGAACGTAGTTTGCATTAATGTAGTCGGATCCCTCCTCATCGTCAACTGGTTGCAGTTTGAATCTCGAGTGGTCGTAGGGCAGAATGTTGGTGAACCGGTTCTTTGGTCGGTTACAAGGTAAGTCCGCAGCAGTACAGGGTTGATCTCTTCCGACATGCTTCAACTCCTCAAACTCTTCTGAGAACCGGAAGTCCGAATCCGCAGACATCATTCGATAATGGTCGGCAAAATTTTCCAGCTTCACCGGCCTACTGTCGAACAGAGTACGTTAAGATATTGACTATAGAATAGAATAGAAATCTTTATTTGCCATTGACATTATACATGTATTAGCAACAGTCAAGAATATAACTAGTCAAAGGTGGAGTGAATTTGTTGATTAAAAAATAATATTTGATTCATTAACAAAATAAGCTTTTCGGGTTAGTTTTTGAAGGGAAGAGCAGTTTGTTGCTTCAGGATAAATAATTAATTATAAAAGTATGGATATACATCTACACAAGAAAAGAGTATCAGATAGTTCTGTTGTATTTAGTTTTAGTTTCATTCCATTGTGTTTTTGTATATTGTTTTTTTAGGTTATATGTAATGTAATAAATATACAATATGTAATCAATGAGTGAAAAAAAACCTTTTGGTAGTTTAGGTTAGACAGAGTAGTTAGGTGAATGTAGATTAATAGTTAGTCACTTGAAAATGGGAGATGTTTCCTTATCTCTCAACAAACATAGTGGTCAAAATGCTTAGCATAGAAAAAGTCTATTAACTAAAATATACCTAGTTTGTCCCAAAACAAGGATGTAGGGTACAATTTTAATAGTACGGGTGAGATTGTGAAATCTACCATTTAGGTATTTAAAATTACGGCTTTATGCAAGTAAACATTTGGGTAAGGTGGTTAACATTTTTTTTTTTCATAGGGGTAAATTAATTTAACATGTAAGCATGGTATGTTTTACCTTGTCTCCATAATACTGTCAGGAAGAGACATGTTGTCGCTCGCTCTGTTCTCGGTGGCTCGGCGCGCTATGTTCTTGCGCCGTCTCAGCAGCACGACAGTCATAAACAGCACAAACAGCAACAACGACGGGATACTCAGTCCGACCAACAACGCCGTGTTGTCCGTGTCTGAACATGAGTCAGGGTTAGACAAGAAATCTTTCTCCTTACTATCCAATGAACGTTGAAAATTATCAAACCTAATTTAGATGGGCGAAAGTTACCTAGATTACACTGTCAACTGTATTTTTTACTATCAGTGAGGGGAACCCTCAATACAGATGTTGACGGTTGTAAGGTTCTGTTCTAATAGAAACTATTTACAAAATAAAAACATAAGTTCTGTCTTACATCACTTTAAAACTTACAAAATGTTACAATGATGGTAATATGACTTGACAATCTATGTTGCCATCTTCAGACTGACTTACAGCTTTTGAACCGTAGTTTTCACATCATTGGTGGTTATACTATTTGTTTAGAGGCTAAAGGACTATATTATACTAAATATTATTCAAGTTTAAGTAAAAATCTAATTTTTCTGTTATTTTAAGTTTTTTTGTTTTTGGGAAAATCACAAGTAAAATGTTCCATGAGACGATTGGAAATTCAAGAAGATGCTGAGGACAGAGACAGATGGAGGCTCTGTGCTGCTTAGGCCGAGTACAGACTGGGGTACAAATGGCCATGGCAGTAAGTAATGAAAAAATCACTATTAAATATCAAAGTTTCAAAAAGATTTTAAAAACGCCTGGAGAAACTGTGGACCAAGTCTGTAGCTCTGTAATAGACACACACAAACTAAAACACCAACGCACAGACACACATCACTTTAGAAAATACTCTTATGGGTACAGGAGGACCCAAAACAGATATTTCCACCCAAAACTCAAACTCTAAAATTTGAAAAAAAAAACAATACTTTCTCCATATACTACATATAAGGGGAGAATGTAAAAAGTCATACAACTAGCCTACCTGTAGTTATCGGGAAGGAGTAGTAGGTATCCGTGAACTTGTCCGGTGTAGTGAAGGCTCTGATCTTGACTCTGTATGTAGTCCCAGGTTTGAGTGGGCCGTTGCAGTAGCCGGCTGGGATGCCTTCGCAATTCTCTTCTCCGATCGTCAAGTCCTCCACTGAAGAGTTCTTGAACGGGTTGTATGGTTCCATGACCTGAGAGAAATATATTTTCAATTGCAATTCTATTTGAAGTCTACAATCTGAGCTGCAGACGTTGTAGACAAACTAATCAGATTTTCATTAAATAAAATATTAGTTTTTTTCATAGCAGGATTTTTAATAGGTAATTTAAAAGTCAGTTACTCTATTTCTAAAAATATATATACTGACACACGATTAGGGAAGGTATAATTCATGTTTTTTGTTTTTGTTGTTTATTATGACGAATTATTTATATTACTTTTACAAGTAATTTTCAATTAATTTGGTTACAAATATAGTTTAGGATATGTTTTAAAAATTATTTTCATATATAAATACATAATTAATGATTTGATTTGTGTTTTCACTTTCTTCATCACACCAACTCATATACGATTACAACAAATAATTTCCCAATAAAATTCCACATCTTGGGAGGAAATAAAAAGAAAGCTCCCACAAACTTAAATTTCATTCACCAAATAGCAAGAAATTTAATAATACATCAACACAATGAAGCCTTAACAGACATTAAACATACCTTTAAAATATTGTCTTCGTCTGATCTATACAAACGTTTCCATTATTATGTAGACTTTTCTTTAACTTGGCCTATTGCTTTTTGAGTTGAATGGCTCGATGCATTATTGGATAAACATGTATAACATATCTATCAGTATGTCTAATCTATTGGTCATGGTCAGTTATCAGCTGGACCATTACCTGGTAAGGAGGCCAAACACTGTACGCCTGAACATCTCTCCAGCTGGGCATCTCTAGGCCTGAGGCGTTCTTGGTGTCATCCTCAGCAACAACAACAGTGTACGCGATCACCTGCAAACAATAGAACACATTAGGGTCAGGTCAGAATATAAAACTAGTGCTTGCTTTGCATAGTTGTTTTACTGCTTTTTATAGACACCAGATGACTATGTCTTTGTTGATGATAATTGATAACCATTACCTACATTTAAAGAATGAAAATAAACTACATTTTAAGTGGCTGAGAAAACTAATAAAATTAAAATATTGCATCTTACAAGTCCAGTAGCTTATAGATACACATAAAAGGTTGAATAACACAACACTAACATTTTGACCTAGTTAGGGTCTTGGGATAAACTTGTCTTACAAAAATAACTATATTTCCATACTTTCTATGTTGTATTTAAAACAAACACCAATATTGGTATACAACAAATAAAAAGTCATCCTGAGATCCGTGTGAGGTTTTAAAACTGACAAATTGCAAAAACTAATACTTACACCACCGTTAACATCGGAAAAGTAGTTTTTGCGGAAACGTATCTGAATGGTCGTGGAGGAACGGCAAACTTCAGTCGGTACAACTTGACTGCTCGGTTTAGGAGGAGCTAAAAAAGGTGCTTTAATTAGATGTTGCCAGTGGAATTAAAATGTATGGACATATTTGAATCTATTACTTAAAATGTGTTTAATAACATTTTAAACCTTGTATATGCTACTATACAGCTTCCTTTGATAAGATCCTTTGATAGCAAAACTTTAAAAAAAATACATACTTTGACAACACATATCAATTGTCATCTCTTAGAAAGTTATTGCTATTGATGTTCTACCGCTATGACATTTCATAAAAATGTTAAGAATACAATCAAAACACCATACATAACAATCATCACTTTTAAAAATCTTAACTGATTTTTATATAAAAAAATAGGTTTGTAAAATTTGAAAAAAAAAAACATAAGCTCATACCCAGTATTGGCATCTTCTCTTTCCAGATAGCTTCAGGGCCGTATCCGACTCTGGTCTCTGCTTGGATGCGGAAAATATAAGTTTTTCCGGGAATCAATCCCTTGATAGATCCTCTGAACTCCCATGGTTTGAAGTCTTTGTGTTGTGTATGTGTTGAACCCTGAAACGGTCACATTTTAATATGTTGTTGTATATTCATTTTAACAAAATTTGAGCCTAACTAATTAAGTTCCAAAAAGATTGCATAAAATCACCAGATTGATAGTGTTATCGTAGATAGCCAACTCAAGGGATATAAAAATAAAAATAATATTTAAGGTTGGTTACAAAAAAAAAAAATATGTTTATCATCTAAAAAATTTTGGATTTAAAAATAGTTGATTTTATTTACTAATTGCCCTCCTGGATAGAAAATCCATACAGAATAAGTAAGTAAGTTGGGTAACCTTTAACTTTGTCAATAGTTATAGTTTTCTTTGAAACTAGCTTTGAAACAATAGTCATTGGGGGAAAACTGAGGTTGTTGATGACGTTAGTGAAATTTATAATAGACATTTTTACTAGATTACTTAAATCTATTACCACTATGGCTCAGTGAAATGTGTTTTTACAAACATTTTGAGGACTATTAGAGGATAAAATATCTCAAGTATGTGCTAGTGATTGAGTAAAAAGTAAGTGAGAACAAAATACAACTTATAAGGTTCGTTTTTGGATGAATCCTGTACAAATATAAGCCTCATTTTCTTACAAAGTATCTGAGTTAATGGTAATATTACTAACCTCCAATCCATAAGTAATGGTGAACTTGCGAATCACACCGTTCTGTTCCGTGTTAGGTAGTGACCATTCAAACAGGATATCACCCGGCTGGATGTCAATTGGCTGGAATTTCTCCACCTGAAATAAAATTGAAATGCATCTATGAAATTTAAATAGTACCCTTTTTGTCCTAGTTCATTATTTCCTAAAAAATAATAATAATAATAAACAGCACAATACACACACAATGTTTAAGTATTGCCAATATCATAGTCATGTGCAAACCTAAAGTAATACTGTTCTAAAAACAATTTCTGAGCTAGTGTTTATTGTTATTGTATGTCATGGTTATACTTCATGTTGTGTTGTTTATTCAGAATCATGTTTACAAATCATGGTTAAACACTGTTGGAATGTGGGAAGCTGATCTCGCCAGGCCATGTGGTGTTGACCAAGCAGCCACTGGAATGTGAGTAATGTAAAGTGAGGGGGGATTCAACATTGCTTTAACCGAGAGACCAAAAATGTAGTACCTGCTCCTATATATTGAATACGTGTCAGAAGCTGGCATCTCCGAGACTTTACCTTGCCAGGGAAGGACTCCTCGGTGGTGAATATCGCAGACACGGGCAGAGAGCTGCGCAGTATGGATGACTCAGTGCCAGATCTGACCACCACGGTGAACGTATAGTTCCGATGAGGCTTCAAGTCAGAGATGGTGATCACGTTCTGTACAGTCAGGTTCTGCAGGAGTCGACCTTCTGTGTTCAGGTACTGGACCTGCTCAAACACGCACAAGTTGTTGGAAAAGAGTTAAATATTGGAAATTTACTATGGATAAATTGATCACAAGTTTATTTAGGGCTCAGAAAAGTTAATAAGCCAACTTAATCAATTGCACCAGATTCACAAAAACTCCAGATTACAAAAAAATGTACATATAGGCAATTGGGGTAGTTAGATGTTATTTTGTTTGTTTGAAACCTAAGAAATACCAGGGTGTCCACAAATTTTAATCTGAAATTCCCGTATAGTTCACAGATTTTCCTGCCAATACTGAAGAATTCCCGGCAGATATTTTTTGCTGATAAGCTTTTGTAAGTGAAAAATAATAAGCTTCAGGGGGTTTTTTAAGCGAGGGGGCTTAAAAATATCTTAAATAATTTAAGCCAAAGTTAATGAATTATACAATATTTGTATTACAAAATAATTGCACACTACTGTGTTTTGTTGATGGTGTCACTTAATCTTTATTTCAACAACCCAAAATTTTATGACATGAATTAAATTTTTCCACATTTTTGACAAAATTCCTGTATGATTCACACTGTCAAAAGCTTTCTGTACGATCCACACAATTCCTATTGCATGGACTCCCTGAATACTGAGTTTTGAAACTATGTGAACCCCTCTATGTGAGTTTGCGTGACTAACCTCAAAGGCGTTGTACTCTCCTCGTGGAGTGTCCCAGGTGAGAGTGATGGTTGTGTCTGTTGTCTCGGTGGCGTTGATAGCTAAGATAGGCTCCGGGTACAGTCTGTCCTGCCGCTGCAACGGCTGACTGGCAACATCGTTTGACACTGTCCACATCGTGATGTTGTACAGCCTTCCAGGCACCAGGTTGTTGAATATCACCTGAGAAAACAATTACATGTCGAGTTACGTCGAGGATACGAGAATGGACGTTGGGATCAGAACAAGGTTGCTGTGGTGGCAACTTGGGAAGATTGGACAGATATTGCTATCAACAATCAACCAGCTTACAATATCTTAACTTCAACCACTGACTTACCTGTGTAAGAAATTGATAGTGATGTAAGTTTTATTAATGAGAAACTAAGTTTTCAGAATGAATATATATGGAAATGTTGACATTTTAACAACAAAGTAATGCCTGCAATACTCTTTTATTCAAGCCATAAACTACCTTGACAGTCTTCTTCTGTAGTCAGGAAATAAATAAATTTTCCCACATTCACTCCCTCACATCGACATTGTGTACATCAGGTAAGGAAAAATAATTCTCTAATAAAACTAATTAGCACATCAGTTTTTGCAGATTTAGGAAGCAGGCAAAGGAGAAATATTCCACACAATTGTGTCAATATAGGCATCAAAGCACATATTCTTATCAAACACTTATACCAAATTTTTACTTGAAAAATTGCTTAGAGCTCAACATCGTTCAAAAGGATTTTTTTACTAGCAAACGTGATCAAACCATTTCAAATAGAATAACTAAAAGCAAATTAGATATGTCAAGAAATATCTCCTTCGTGAAAGGATCTATGTTAAGTGTAAGTCAAATACTGCAACAGAATAAATAGCAGTTTGATCAACAAAACGTCTGAGTTGATAACACAGAACACACTCCAGTGTGGGGGAAGTCCAGTTTTCTTCACAGGACTTGTATTATATCCCAAACGTTCATGACATATATCAACTAGGTACTGTGTTAGCCCCAGATGGCTTACCTTGGGTTCTGAGTCGTTGGCTGGCTTCTCCTTGACAGGGATGCTGGGGTCGGACAGAGAGAAGCGGTAGAGGTCGAAGTGAGAGGATGACTGAGGCGTGGGAGTGTATCGTAGAGTCACGGAGTCTGTGGCTTGTTGGTTGTTCACCACCAGAACCTCCGACAGGATCAGCGGCACTGGACAATCACCACAATTAGTATAAATTGTCTAACAGCACTGAAGCTGATACTAACTAGGCTGACTGATATAACAAAGGTACACAAGACATTTCACTCCATTGTAAACTCAAAATGTATAATACTCAGCTTAAACACTAACCCAAGTGTTTGTTGCTATCTTTTCCAAATTGGTCAAGTGATCAAAATGTTCAGTCTGATGTGATTAACATTTAGGGAGTTGAAAATATCAGCCTACTTTACGTATTCTTGCATACAGTAAAAGCTCTAAAATTCTCAGCCTTAATGACCACCATCCATAGTTTGCATGAAAATTAGAATAAATTACATGGAGGACAACGAAAGGCTTACTGTTAAGTAGATCTATGCTACAAATGTAACATTATCTAATTACATCTTTATCTTTTAACTAATTAAAAAAATCCTACAACCTCATTGTTTTCCTTGATTGCAGCAAGATCTTAAAACATCTTCTGCGGTCTTGTAGACATCGCCATCATCTCCCGCAGTTACGTAAAATCATTAGTATCCTAACCCAATGGCAGGGACACATAAAAGCATGAACTTTTCAATCGCAAACCGACGCAGACATGTTCTGCGATTGCAATAGCACTACAAATTGACTTGGCCTATTTTCCATACAAACTCCAAATTTTGGTAAAAATCCCATCTCAAAAACTTTTGACTATTTGAATGTGATAAGGTCTCAATTGATTAGGATGGTTGGGGTTGCAACTTACATGTGCGGACAGAGAGAGACGTGATATCACTATGCAGGTCGTACGACACAGTGTGAATCTCAAAGTTGTACATGACTCCTGGCATCAGCTCCTCCACCACAGCCCTGACTCTCTCATCATCCTTGTACTGTAGACCAGACATGTTTTTGTGTCTAGGCGGAAGTACCTGAACATGTCACAAAGAGTGTCAGCTTAACCAAAAAATTGACAAAAAATCACTAAGAAATTATAATATATATAGATCTAAAAATCCATGAAACACAGATAGATAGTTTCAACAATTTTAACTGTCAGAATAAAAGATTATACATCTGCTGATTCCAGCTGTACTCACTTCGCCAGCGTCAGTGACCTCGGACCAGCTGATTTCGTAGCGCTCGATGCGGCCCTCAGGTCGAGGGAACTCCATGGTCAGGTTAGACGAGCCCACGAGAGGTGCAATGTCCGACACGGGTTTGGGATCTGCAAACAAAGATACCGATTACAGAAAGGTCCTTTAGCAAGTAAGCGTTGAATGATGGTGTTATTTGAACTGGCCAGTAAAGACCAATTCAATAAACAAGCATATGTTATTTACATGTGCCATATACATTTTAAATTTGTTAACAAAATATACCTAAACAGCTTTAAAATTATTACTTGATAAAAGTTTATCGGCATGCCACAATTTGTGTAGTTCTCTAGCCCACTTTCACATAAAACTAAAATCCGTGTATACAAAACTATAATAAGACCAGTCTTACTATATGGCTCATAGAATTGGGTGCTAAGCAAGAGAACAGAAGACGACTTATAGTTTGTTTGAAAACAAGATTCTAAGAAAATCTTTGGACCAACCTTTGAAAATGAAGAATGGAGAGTAAAGCACAACAGGGAGTTGACAGAGTTGTACAGGGACTCAGATATTGTGGCTGAGGTGAGAAGTAGACGATTGAGGTAGGCAGGCCATGTGTTTAGAAAGGAAGAGGGCTCCTTAGTGAAAAACGCCCTAAACAACAACCCTGAGGGTAGATGACCTCCTGGAAGGCCGGTGGAGGGATCAAGTAAGAAGAGACCTGAGAAGAATGGGAAGAAGAGAGAGGGAAGTAATGAATCGTGGAATCTGGAGGCATTGTGTTGGCGAGGCAAAGTACCTCCTTGGGTACCAACAGCAACGGCAGTAAGAAAGTAAGTAAAATATGGTGAACACAACTGTATGGTGTATACTCACGGACAGTATGGTTGGCCTGTAGGGGATGTTTACTCTCCACCCCGTAACTGACGGTGTTCACTTGTATGGTGTATCTCTCTCCTGCCGTCATGTCGTACAGGTCCACCTCATTGTCCGTCGCATTCACCAATTCTTTCTTCCACTCCAGTCCTGTGGTCGTGTGTCTGCAAATCGTTACATGTGAAATGAATAAATACCCCCGCCGCAGCAAACCTGCCGCCTAAGCGAATTTCCATTTGTCTGAATTGATTTTCAGTTAAATATATTTTAATAACATTAGGTTTAATGAGTACCTAGGTTTGCTGCTACAAGGAAACTAATAAAGTGTGTTTTTGAGTAAAATATTGATAGCTTAGTACAAAAATAAATAAATTTGCCAAGTTTGATCAAAATATATTCATAAACAAGCAAACCACAACATTTGACAATATTCTCCATAAGAATAACATGGGAATTTTAAATTTACAATTTTTTTAAATTTTCTCCGTTACTAATAATCGAACAAAAATACTTTTATATACTAAATTATTTGTTTTTTTAAGCTCTTTAAAAAGGTCTAAAGAGAAATTGGGACATTTTGTGTTTTGAGGGTCAAAAGTGAGAAAAACCAATTTTTACCCCATAAAACCCCCCGTAAAGCCCCGTTCCCATGGTCCGATCGTGCTGGTTCGCGAACTCATTCAAGTTTATCCCGCTTTACACCTTTAAACCAAATTTCATCAAAATCGGACAAAAATTACTCAAGTTATCGCGTTCACGGACGTATATATATATATATATATATAAGTCTATATATATATATATATATATATATACATATATAAAAATTTGAACGAATAGTGTTTTTGGCCTCTGGGGACATCAAAATGAAAAACTAAATCGGTCCCGGGTCTAGGTCTTACCGTGCCACCTACGGTAATAGCTACTTCCCTATAGGGAAATTCGCTAAATACTTCCCTATAGGGAAATTCGCTAAAAAAGTAATTTAAATATGTTATACTAATACTACACAACGTTTGTCTGTCTTGGGCAAATTTGTTAAATTAGAAGTATATAAATTGATGAAGTTCTTACTCTGGAAGTCTTTGCTATGTAAAACTTCAGCCACTGTGGTGAATTTGTTTTACAAAGACATTTTTGCTAATGTAATATCGAAGTTTGTTTATTTTTTTATTTTTCAACTTGGTACAAGGTATAGGCCTATATTAATTAATTTTACAATAGCTAGCTGCATAAGCCTTATAAAAAGGGTTTCCGCAGCATTTAATTTCTACACTGCTTCATTACTGAACCATAAAAAGTCTGCATGATTATTCACTAAATTTTCTTAAACAATTGCTTTAAATTAGTATCTTTTTTACAAAACATTGTCAAAACAAAGCTTTAGACTACATAAGATAATATTTAATACACTTACTTTATTACAAAATTAGAGAAGACCGAGCCCACTGGACCTTTCCACTTCACAATAACAGAGTTGCTGGTCTTCTTTTCAATTGTCAGATTCTTTGGTGGCAGTGGATCTGAAAGTATAAAATTCATATAAAGGATTTAAGTAGGGATGGACGAGATTGGATTTTTAGTTCGAGACGAGACGAGACGAGATTTTTTATTTCTCATAAAATTTTGAGACGAGATCGAGACGGGATTTCCCTTCTCATACACAACGGGAAATGCACGTTCAAAATTTTTACCTGATTTTGTAACATTGTTAGATGACTGTTTAAATACGAAAATAATGATAATAGGCAAGAATATTTACAATCTTTTATTAAAAAACATCAGAATAACATTTTATTTATTAATCACGCTTAACTTATTAAAAATGCCTACGATTAGGAAACATAGTGATATCAGTTAGGATAGAGTTCAACTTATCCTAAAATAAAATAAATCATAAAATAAAAGCAATATTAGTTTTTATAAAATAGTTACTTGTTTTGACTTTTTATAGTAATAAAACATTCCTCACACTGCTTACACTTAACAAAACTTCTCAAATGTTATTAAAGTAATATTATTAAAAAAATTAAAGTAATATTTACATTTAAAGAATTAATTTAATAAGAACGCCTTCGCAAAGGAAACTACAACACGCTCCTGTATTGCGGGTATTGCATTGACTTTCTGCAGGCGTTTTTAATTTTTTTTTTTTTTTTATTCTCGTCTCGATAAAAATCTCGGCCAAAAAGAAATCTCGTCTCGTGTAACGAGATTTAAAATTTCCCGAAAATTTCCCGAAATTTCGAGACTTGACCATCCCTAGATTTAAGTGATGGGGCTCTAACATAATGTCGTGGCAGTGGATCTGAAAGTATAAAATTCATATAAAAAATTTAAGTGATGGAACTCTAACATGATGTCAAGAAGATATGTTCTGAAAAGTGTAAAAAATAGTTGTTGGGCAAAATAAAAATGATAAAGAAAAATACAAAACTTACAGACAGCCTGGAAGTAGTCGTGAGGCTCACTGAGCAAGTTGTGGCTGATAGCAAACACCTGCAGTTGATATCCTGAGCCTGGGAACAGTCCATCTTGGTTCAGCTTGTACTCTGTAGTCACCCTCTGAATAACTCCACTGCCTGTAGAAACATTACAGAGAACGTTTAGAATAAATCACATCACGTCACTAAACTTACAACAATCAATAAGATCATCAACCAAATAAAGAAGAATCTAGGGCTAGCAACGAGGTTTGTTGAAGAATTTTCAAAGAGATCAAATATTCGTGCACACCTCTGAAAGTTACATCAGCTTCAGGTATGCAGGTTTAAATTTATTCACCAGAAGGCTTTAATTTTCAATATTCTACTTCATGCTAGCCTCAAAGGTTTAAGAAGTTGTTTTGGTTTGGGGCAGAACAAGATTTTTCATGGGAAACTTTAATTTGTTTTGAAAATCTTGGATAAAAATCTTGCAAATTGTAATAATGAAAAAAAATCAATTTGCACTCTCTATTGCATTGTTATATAAAAATCAACTTGATTTAGAGCAATCATAATAGCAGTTTCAAAAAATATTATAGCCACCAGTAGAAAAACAGTATTAGCTTTGGCAATTAATTTTTTTACGGGTATTCATTACAATGCCATCATCAGTCCAATCCGTTATTGTTACATACTCATCGTTTCCCGCAATAATTTCAAATCATAGATATCACCTGTGATAGTAGGGACATCACCATCGTTGCTTGTGATCACTGCTGGGACAAATTTTGTGCTAAAAATATTCCTGAATCAATTCTGCTTGGTAAAAGTTAAAAAATATAATTTTCAACAAATTTCTCAAAATTTCAAGACACAGGAATCTGTAATTTTTCTATAATTAAACTTTATTGAGCTAGACTAGTTCTAGACTAGTTCTAGAACTAGTCTACTAAACATTTATCAAGCCCACCTCTTGTAAAGTTCAACTCCTCTTCAATATTATTTACAAACAGATAGCCCAAGTGTGCACCTTCGTAGTCCTTATAGTAGCTAATAGGATGCTTTCCTCCCAGAATCAGCAAGCCTAAAACAATCAAATAATGTATCACTATTGAGTAAATGCATACATTTTGTAGGAAATCATAAAATAGACTCGATTACATCACAGTACCTGGTTTCTTTAAGATGTTTCAAAGATATTAGGAATGTGATGGAATGAACTAAAAACATAAGTGAACAACAACTAGGATATTTTGTTACCTGTATCATTCCTCTGTATGACAACTTCAAACTTCTCTTGCCTAGAGTTGACGTCCGACTTCCAAGATATGTTCAGACCAAACTCCACTGGCCGCAGATCCTCAATTATAGGTGACGAAGGTCCTGAGAAATAAAATATGATAAGCTAACAAACATCTTGGCAATACCTTGTTAATTCACTTATATCTGTAATACAAACTAAAAAAAGAAATGTAAAATTTCTCCTTTAATTGAATATTTCTGCCGATCAGTGTTGCAAACAATAAATATTGTTAAATTGAGATTTCTAATGAACAATGACGCAAATGACATTCTCTACTGCATGGGATATTTCGTTTTTAAAAATACATGGGTTAGCAGCACTTATAAGCGACTGAATTAGTGGGAAACTGGCCGACACAGCCAGTTGCGGCTAGAACTTATTATTTTTTCTGAAAAAATTTACTGTGGTCATTGCAACATTGTTCGGCGGAGCTATTCAATTTTATATTTCACTTGTTAGTGTGTACTATATAATGTCTAATCATATAAAAACTTCTATTTGCTGTCTACAAACAGACTTTGCTCCTAAATTAATTTATACAACAAATACTAAATACCTTCAGTTACGATTTCAAATGTAGCCCAATCTGAGTTTCTTTGAGTAGATCTGACTGAAACCCTTTTACAATTTAACTGTTCCCTTTGTAACCAGTAAAACATCTCAATGGATGTATATTGTATAAACAAATCGGGCAAAGAATAATCGATAGCATCAATAATCATGGTGTCATCATTTAATAACTACCATAGTTGATTCCCTTACAAATAAATCAAACAGTCATTATGACTTTTGAAACACAAATAAAAAATAATATTCAAATAAGAAAGATGATAAACTGACGTGTGGCCTGGTATACGACGGTCTCGTTGCTGTCCATGTTGTTGCTGACGGCTTGCACGGTGATGGAGTAGTTACGGCCAGGCAGTAGAGTGTCCAGTGTGTACTGTGTGTTGGTTGTGATCACGGAGTTGCTGTCTCCATTGAGGATCTCCACTTCCGAGTAACCCACCTGCGGAAATTAATCACATAAAAGATACCATGGACGGGATAGTAAATGTAGGTGTAATCGACAAAGATTCAAAATTAAAATCAGGGTACTGTAGCAACGGCTTGATTGAACCGTGTTAATTCTCAATTTAAATTAGTCCAACTTTAACATGGGATCGAGATGACTACTTCTAACAATAGTCAAAGATACAATCAGGGGAGGTATAAATAAAATTTCCTTTACTTAATGCAAGTAGTTTTCATTAAATGGTGTCAGAGACACCTGCCTCAGACAAAGTTCAAAGTTTGATTGGCTATGAAACACAAAGGGGAAGTGCAAAAAGCATGTGTCAGAGACTCAGTCCATCCCTAAAAATATTCTTTAGTAGGGTTTCATCATTGTTCATAAGTTTCTGTCAAACCCTGTGATCTTCACTTTCTCTCAATGCGTTCTCTGCAATATTAAGCACTTACAAAATCACTGATCTTGAAGGCCTACCTTGTATTCTTCCTGGAAACTGGAATTGTCCGGTTGCCAAGATAATGCAACAGCTCCTGTCAGGTCGTTCACCACTGCCTTCAGATTCACAACTGGTAGCGGCTCTGCAAACAAGAAAAACAATGGTAATTTTGTAATATAAACTATACAAAAAATGTTTACTTTGTGTCTCGATGCAGGATACTCAAGAACCGAGTATACACGGTGATTAAAAACAAAGCTGTTTTAAATTATCTCGCAACATTTATTACAATTAAATTACAGTCCAGCTTGGTGAAAGTATGATATCTTTATAAATCATATTAATCATTATCATTATCATCATAATAATCCATTCCTATTCATTTAAAAAAGTTGTTATTATTACACAGGTAAGTACCAGTGCTAACTACAGGCAGGTGTTCAAAAATCAACAATTTATGAAAACGTCCAAGGCTACCAATCTTTTCACAGGATTAGAATAGTTTGTGGATGTTTTTCTGGAATAGAGCCTACTTAAGTTATTGTAAACAGACAATATGTCTGAAACGTTTTCACAATCAAAAATTCACTATGTGTGTACTCAGTCAATAAATTATATGCGGTAGTAAAAACTTCCATCAGAATGTATCATTTTTCTTTCTCTTGTCCTATTGCCTGTAGTATTTATATCAATGTCTAACTAACTTATTTTTGTGCTATACTTACTGACAGTAACATTGACTGCTGCAGGCCAACTGGTCACCTTGCCACTGACTGTTTTGATCAACACATGGTAAGTACGGCCAGGCTCCAGGTTCTCCTTGAACTCCCACTCTGTAGGCTCGTCTCTGTTGCGCATGATGGGAGCCATCGTACCTTGTCTGCGTACGTTGATCACCACTTGGTACTTGTCAAACTCACTGCAACAACACAGTTTTGATCAACACATGGTAAGTACGGCCAGGCTCCAGGTTCTCCTTGAACTCCCACTCTGTAGGCTCGTCTCTGTTGCGCATGATGGGAGCCATCGTACCTTGTCTGCGTACGTTGATCACCACTTGGTACTTGTCAAACTCACTGCAACAACACAGTTTTGATCAACACATGGTAAGTACGGCCAGGCTCCAGGTTCTCCTTGAACTCCCACTCTGTAGGCTCGTCTCTGTTGCGCATGATGGGAGCCATCGTACCTTGTCTGCGTACGTTGATTACCACTTGGTACTTGTCAAACTCACTGCAACAACACAGTTTTGATCAACACATGGTAAGTACGGCCAGGCTCCAGGTTCTCCTTGAACTCCCACTCTGTAGGCTCGTCTCTGTTGCGCATGATGGGAGCCATCGTACCTTGTCTGCGTACGTTGATCACCACTTGGTACTTGTCAAACTCACTGCAACAACACAGTTTTGATCAACACATGGTAAGTACGGCCAGGCTCCAGGTTCTCCTTGAACTCCCACTCTGTAGGCTCGTCTCTGTTGCGCATGATGGGAGCCATCGTACCTTGTCTGCGTACGTTGATTACCACTTGGTACTTGTCAAACTCACTGCAACAACACAGTTTTGATCAACACATGGTAAGTACGGCCAGGCTCCAGGTTCTCCTTGAACTCCCACTATGTAGGCTCGTCGCTGTTGCGCATTATGGAAGCCATCGTACCTTGTCTGCGTACGTTGATCACCACTTGGTACTTGTCAAACTCACTACAACAACATTATGGTGTTCATCCAGTGTTCATTTGAAAATTCAACTGACTGTTCATTTGTGGTCCTAATTTTGCAGTCCTAATCACATATTTTAGATGTTAATTGGAGTTTGGAGGCCATGTAGGAACTAAATTTTGGCCCATTACTGCATAAAGTTGACAACAATGAACTTGGACAAAATTAGTTTCAAGCAAACCAGGAAGATTTATTACACTATTCACAAAACAAATCGACAAATTCTTGTGTCAAACATTATGAAAGTGAAATAAAGAATTTTAACGTTGAAAAACAAATAAGCATTCTTGAAATATTTGTAATGGCCAATGGGTTGCTGACCTTTATTTTTTTATTATTGATTTATTTGTTAGCCACTAAGGTTAACCTGTTTGTTAGTTTTTAATTGATTGCTTTGTTTTACTGTTTTATTAACGCTCTATTGATTTTGCAAACAGTATTACAATTTATTGCAATGTTCTTCAAAGTGGCTAAAATCCCTGAAGTTTATTCATTTACTTTGCAGGTTTCATCTACTTTTTGTAATTTTATATCAGCACCTTATTGTGTAATAAATATTGTACTGTAACATAGATTCAAATATCGTAGGATCAAAAGTGAAACAGAAGAACCACACGTAACTATCTACAGTGAACATTTTTCTTACATTAACTACACTGACCAACACTAATCAAAACACACTATGAAAAATTTAAAACAATCCAAACAAATGAATACTACATACGCTGTCTCGTTTTGCAAAGGTACATGGTCCAAGCAGAACCACAGGGTAAACATTTGCACACAAACAGGGGTAAAGTCCATGGTGAAGACGTAACTAGACTGAAGCAACGAGAGGCATTCAGGTGGGTGTGACCTCGCATTCATTCAATAACTGATCTACTTGTGAATATTGGAACTGATTAACCTGTACCTCTGGCTACGATGCATTGCTTTCTACCAGAGTACCACTTACTACATTCATAATCCAACTTGTAACACAGTCGATAAATAAACCAAAATTTTGTGATTTTTTTTGTTTAGAAGGATGTGTGTGTGTTTGTGTTTGTATTTTGATATTATGCCATTTTGTGTTCCATTTTGTATCATAAAGCAGGGTGAAATTTATAGTAATCAGACAATAATTTAAAAAATCTAAATTTATTTTGATACACAGTTTTTTAACAAAATAATTTTTAAAAATTCCAAAAGTTTTGAAAATTGGTTGCCTTTGATAACTTGCAGCTCTGGGATATAGCCAAGTCAGCCCAAATACAAGATGGGGCCTGTTTAACTCTTTGAGGTGAATTTTTTTTTTCATTTTTCGGCGAGTATAGGTTGCTATTCGAGCAGTCGGGAAAATGGCGCCCAGCAAACTATACCTACTCAATATTCTATCACAAAGATAAACTTTTTAGATTTGTGAATATAGATTTTTTTTGTTGTTGTGAGTATAGGTTGCCATTTTTGAGCAGTCGGGAAAATGGTGGGCGATGGACCTATACTCGCCATTCGACCGCAAAGGGTTCATTGTAACAACTGTATCATGAAACATGCACATTATTTAAAGTTAGTGGTAAGCTATCTAACTTGATACCTAATTTTGGGTTTTAGAGTATATATATATTCTACAAACTTTTACCAAATGAGTCGTACGGTAATTTGCTAATGAATGGAAATTGAGCTATAACTATTAGCCCAGTCAATAAAGGTTTTGTGTCGAAACAAATTAGCGACAGGCAAAACTATATACCAATTGTTAGTACCCAACTAGATATAAATTTTCCCAAAAGTCCCTAAAAATTCCCCCGGTGCTTTCCCCCCCAGTCGATGTTAGTAATCAATTGCATGGTTTTACTAAAGTGCGTCTAGTTTACATACTAGTTGTCTAATTCAGTAAAATAATAGCGAGTTGTCTTTAATTAAATTTCCTACAAAAATGTAATGTACATTTTTACTGTAAATCTAATAGTTTTCCCGTAATTTTGATCCAATTATTGATGAAATTGAGAAAATATTGACACTATAATTTTGGATTATCTACTTAATTTTTTTATTTGCGAGAAATTCAAAATATAGTTCCTTGTAGGAAGGATTTTTCTTAAAAATTGTAACTCTGGTTTTAGGATTTGATATTTGATATTCCTAGATTTCATTCCCTATCTATCAACACTGGATAGATCGCCAGTGTCTCATATTCCATATCAGGGACTGATATGGAATATGTAGTGTATAACATCACTACATATTGCTAATGCTAAGTTTATGTTTATACACACACCTGGTGCCATTAGGAGGTTCCCAGTGGACCTTGAAGCTGTGAGTTGTGATGGAGCTCTTTTCACAGACCAGAGACAACGGCCGCAAAGGGATGGTACGGTACTGGGCAGTGGTGGGGGTGGACGTCTCGTCCTCACTGACTGTCTGCACTGAGATGTTGTACGCCCGTCCTGCAGACGATAATACAGTTGTATTGTATTTGACAACAGTGACTTGCTCCAGAAAACTTAATCATCTACTCAGTAATCAAGTCTTGAAATGCTTTAACTTAAAGACCAGGTTTTATAAGATCTATCAATAAGTGCAGCAATACATGTGCAGTGGAAATTCTTTAATGTAGGAAAGGAACTGTTGGTAAAAAATTATCTTCAGCTCTGACTAATTTAAAATACCCTCGCCACAGCAAACCTACAGACTAAGCGAATTTCTATTTGCCTGATTGGATTTACACTAAAATGTCTCCTTAAAAATGATAAGGTGGGTTGGCCATATCTTGAGGAGAAATGAGGAGAGCTTGTTGAAGAAGGTACTAAAGGGAGATCCGAGGGAAGGAGACCAGTAGGAGGACCAAAGGCCAGGTGGTGGGATCAAGTCCGGAAAGATATGGAAAAGATGAGCCTAGAAGAGGAACTGGCGACAACGTTTTGGCGAGGCCAAGTACCAGCTTGGGTACCAGTGGCCAAGGCAGTAAGCAGTAAGTAAGCCTCCAGAATTAATTTATTACAAAATAGATGGATATGTACCTTACATCGTCAATCCTAATATAGTCTGGGTCGACTAAGTTAACACAGTGTATTCATGTTTGTGTGTGTTTTAAATGTTGTATTTTTTTTATTGACGGCGACAATTTCCCAAAATAATTTTATGCAAGATGACAAGAGACTTGAATATGAACTTGTGGTTTTTTCACCAGAGACTAAATAATGATCGATGATGTAAGGTACAAGTATCCAATTAATTTTGATGGGGAATGACAGTTACAAAATTACATGTGAAAGAGAACTAAGCAGGTAGTGGGAAAATTTTGTAATGGTAAATTTCTAGAAAAAGTAACTAAAAATCTCAAGAAAATTGAAAAAAATTTACATAACCATAACATTACAAGACTTAAACTTAAGCTTCAAACTCACTGGTAATATAATGCTGAAATAAGACATACCATCGAAATTAATAACATAGCAGTCAATTTAATGAACTATTCTGTTTATGCGCATAAGGATTGTTGTTTACGTAAATCTACAAAACCGGTGCAAGCATAACCTAGCAAGGTTAAATCTCGTCCAAACTAAGGTGTGCAGTAAATAAAAAAAGCTATGTGTTAAGGCCCATTCCATATACAGGGTGAGTTTCTACTAAGTGCGTTAATTTTTACCAGTTATTCTACTCACTAAAAGGAACAAAAAATGACAAACAAAAATTTTCCATCCCCACCCGTTATGCTGTAATGGCCGATTATGTGAATTTTTAAAATTACCTGTAGTAGCTTCACTAAAACGAGCATAGAAATTAAGCCAATACACTTACAGCATAATGATTTATACCAATGAAAAGAGCGTTAAATTTCCTACAAAACCATTGCAACACCTTTAACATACAACCATATTTTCACCGTTGTATATGTCTCACATAACATAAAAAAAGAAGTTTCAAAATTAATTCTTTACAACTTCAAAGTGGTTTTACAACTATACATACTAATGTGATGTTTTGTCAAATTACGTAACAAACTTTCCCATTTCATGCCCTTTAAAATGATGTAACCCATAAGGTCATTGCTGTATTAAAAGTTCGAAAAATTAGGTCAAAACCGCGTCAAGGTCAGAGTTTTCGGAATCAAAACATTGAACCAAATGTAATACAGTATCTGTTAATTTCTTTGCTATCTTATAATCAGCTGACATCTGATCAGCTGGGTGTTAAACTTTGTTTACAAAACCAGCTGATTGCAATTGTTGGCTTGTAAACATTTAAATTATTAACTATTTCATTATTTTATAATTATATGACAAAAATTCAATATAAATTTGATAAAAATCTAGGTTAACACATTTGTACAAATAAACAAAATGAATCCTGTAAAGTCTGGTTTCTAGATTTTTAATCAAAGTAAGTTTTCAAAATGTCCACCATTTTTGTTTTAATACATGTGGTCATAAATATGGTCTTTTCCAAAAATTTTTCACTGTTGCCTTTAATTTTAGCTCCTCTTGAAGAAGGTTGGAAGTTTAAGTCCGATTTCTTAGCTCATCCGCTGTTTGAACTAGTGTTCGGCAATTTTCCTGTTTGAGGTAACCTCAAGCGTAGTAGTCCATTGGAGTCTGGTGACTGTGGTGGCCAAGCAATTGATCCGCCTCTTCCAATCCACATTGGGAAAGTATTTCCAATGTAAATTCGCACCCCATTATTGAAGTGGGGAGGTGCACCATATGCTTGCTAAACTATTCGCTTACGTACATCCAACGGGACGTCTTTAATGAGCCTTGGTAGAGTATCAGTAAGGACGATGAGATACTGACAGCAGTTTAATGAATATGGAAGATCAATGAAAGGGCCAACTAACTGGTTTTAGAGTAATCTATTCAACTTAAATCTTGTTTGGTTTCGACACTGGTGTATCACATGTGGGTTTTCTGTAGCATAGTGATGTCCATTATGGATGTTGTAAATACAATCCCGAGTAAACTTGGATTCGTCTGTCCACAAAATCGACTTGAGGAAGTCACGATGATCAAGTCAACTAACAGAGCGACATAACTGAAGTCTCTGTAACAATCTCTTTGTTCAATAATCTGTACTCGTGTAAAATGGTAGGGATGCAATTTTTCCTTTCTCAATAGCTGAGAAATACCTAAGTCACGAGAAACTGTCATTGTTCTTGTCTGTGGATCGTCCTCAAACCACCCCAACACATCTGACACAGCTTCTTAAACACATACACATTACACATCTTGTTTCACGTTCCCAACAGAATGATGTTTAGTGCCCATGGAAACTTGTATGGACACTGATGAATATTCGTTCATTTGAAAGTCACCTATTAGGAAACTGACGACTGTATTCACGTCAGATTACAGCTGCTTTTGAGAACAGAACCCGGAAAATAAAATCATATCAAGACACTTTGTTGGTGAACACCAACATAGCACTAAACAATTATAATATTTTCCAAGTATGTTCATGAAATAGTTAATAATTTAAATGTTTACAAGCCAACAATTGAAATCAGCTGGTTTTGTAAACAAAGTTTAACACCCAGCTGATCAGATGTCAGCTGATTATAAGATAGCAAAGAAATTAACAGATACTGTATTACATTTGGTTCAATGTTTTGATTCCGAAAACGCTGACCTTGACGCTGTTTTGACCTAATTTTTCGAACTTTTAATACAGCAATAACCTTATGGGTTACATCATTTTAAAGGGCATAAAATGGGAAAGTTTTTTACGTAATTTGACAAAACATCACATTAGTATGTATAGTTGTAAAACCACTGTGAAGTTGTAAAGAATTAATTTTGAAACTTCTTTTTTTATGTTATGTGAGACATACAACGGTGAAAATATGGTTGTATGTTAAAGGTGTTGCAATTTTTTTGTAGGAAATTTAACGTTCTTTTTATTGGTATAAGTTATTATGCTGTACGTGCATTGGCTTAATTTCTATGCTCGTTTTAGTGAAGCTACTACAGGTAATTTTAAAAATTCACATAATCGGCCATTACAGCATAACGGGTGGGGATGGAAATTTTTTGTTTGTCATTTTTTGTTCCTTTTAGTGAGTAGAATAACTGGTACAAATTAACACACTTAGTAGAAACTCACCCTGTATATATAGTGTATATATACACTTGTATATATAGTCAACTCTTCAAAGTATCTTCTTATATTCTTAATATACTCTACAAAGATCGAATTAAAAACATATGTTATAAATAAACCAAAAAAAATAGTACAAGAATTATAATGGAGAATAAAGAACATAAATTAAGTGAGTGAATGTTTAAGTTATTTTACAAGTATTACTTTCAACAAAACTTCATCAAATCAACTTATCAAAAACACTATGCATGTGAAATCCTGTAACAATTAACTTTATCACTCGAAGGGGATACAAGTGATGCAGCCGTTTTATTTACCAGTTACTTGTCCCCCATTCTTAGCACTAGGAACAACAACGTGTGTCGTTCCCTAGTGTACAAAAAGGGTTAACCGGTAGAACTTTCTACATCTTAAAAGTTTTTTTTAGAGCAACTTGACAAAATAAACACAAATCGTACCTGGTATGAGGTTCTTGAAGGCCGCTTGTGCAGGGCCCGGTGGTTCTCCCTCCTTCTCCACATACAGTACACTCTCCTGAGCGTCTGGAGGATCTATGGACACTTTGTAATGCGTGTAGATACTGGCCGGGTACGACGGCTGCCACAACACCAGCAACGTCGTCTCATTACGGAACCACACGATGAACTTTCCAGGAGTGTTGGGTTCTATGACAAACAACCGCTTGAAAATATGTATAATTTTGAGTGACTAAAATATGTAATTTCTGAAGATCTTTTTTAATGTGGTATGTGTACATCTACGCAGAGGGTACTGAGGTGGTATATGTCTGTGTTGGTGTATTAGCACTAATTCATGGCTCATCTACGACTGTGTATAGCCGATAAAAATGTAGAACAAGGAGAAGATTACTTTTTATAGACATATTACTTACCTCGGTCAGCTAAAAATTCTGAATGGTGATTTCAGGACATGTTTTGACACAAATGTTGTGATCTTCAGCTGAGCCATTCGATTAAGTTATTTGACAAAAGAATTGTAACCTGTATATATTTTATTTTTAGTTTTTAAGATGTTGACATGTTACCTGTTTTACCAGCTGCGCTGGGGAGGAAAATGTATTGTGACAAAAAAATCTGAATCTGAATCTGATGAAGCCATTTTGGTGGAATACTTCACTAGTGCTCAGCCGAAGATGACTTATTTGTGTCGAAACATGTCCAGAAACTACCATCCAGAATTTTGAGCTAAATGACTTCAGTAATATCATAGACTATTGGATACTTAAGTAGACATCCCATCTATATGGACCAGCTGCTGTCGTCAATCTTTTATTAAAAAAGAACATAGTTATGTGAGCCAGTTGTTGATTTTTGTGGCACTAGGGTCTAAAATTATGTTTTCTACTATATTTATTGTTGCTGACTAAGTTAAAATGGTCATAAAAGTTGCTATAGTTTGCCATAAGTCATTCCATCATATCCATTCCATTAGTTTGACTTTGTTGAAAAAGTCCATGTATTTGACAGAAATTAGTAATTTAGATCAGTGCAATCTGTTGGTGGCTCACATCAACTACTACAATTTTGATTTTAAAAACTGGCAACAATTTTAACATGAGAATGGAATGTCAATGTAATATGTCTTACAAAAATAATCTCCAGCTCAGGGGCTTAACAATTAGTTTTAATTTAATATGATTATTTTGTTAGTTTTTAATTAAAAAAAAAACTAAGTGACTGACTCAAGTATTCATCAATTGCAAAAATAAAACATTCTCGGGAAATGTGCAAACTCATGATAAGAAAAGAGATTACAAAAATAATAAACAAAATCCATTTATAACACACGTGAAAAATCTATAACATGGAAAATCTACATCTATGCAGAATCTATATCACATGAACATGACCTGTAACATGGTTGGTTTGTAACATATTTTTGTCTTGTGTTTTGGTACCCTAGAAAAATTGTTGGGAAGCACTGTCTTCCACTGATACAGCAAGTTTTCATAAATTGAAAGAAACTTTAAGTACATTTGTCTTTATTTTAAGACATGAGACTTAGTATTACTTCTGTTGAAAGCAATGTAACACTTTCACACGACCTACAGGTAGATTAAAGGTTAAAATGTGGTCAGCCATCACATAAACCACACGTATGTTCAGACCAGAACTCACTTGTGGTGAAGTTGCGAGATATGTAGGCCACGCTCTCCTTGTTGTCATACACAGTGTAGAGCTGTATTTGGTAGGAACCGCCAGGCGTGAGGTCTCGAAGAGTGTACGGACTGGCCGTCTCCGTCAGGTTGATCAGCCTGGGCGGGGGCGGTGGCTTGTCCAGGAAACTGACCACCTGACAACACACAGATGATCAGTATAAATTTTTATGACGGGGAAAAAGTTCATGATTTGCAAGTGGGTTTTATATGGAACCGATAAATTTGGAATAACCTATGACCAAGCATCTATTCAATAACATTATTCTGTTAGTCCCTTTTAAGGCCCTTATAGAAAAATAAGAACGCATTTGCACTGATTTGACAAGTGTCACCGTGATTGCGAGAAATTTTCGTTATGTCTAAGTCTTCACAAAGTGATTTTTGGCTCCCGAATTAAAGTAGTATAAGAAAAAGCGGTAAAAGTAGTATTTTTATTATTGTATTTAACTGAGTATACCAGTATTACCAGTGGCGATTTTTGAAAGTCTAAAGATTATTTTGAGAGTATAAATTTACTACAAATTAACATAATAATTTGTGTTTTGTCCTTAGCCTTAAAATAACCTCAATTCAAGCAGAAGTAGTCTTAGCATATTATTTTTTATTGAGAGAATTTGAGTGAAAAATCTTAAAAAACATAAATAAAAATGAATATAAAAAAATTAACATAATGTTAGTGAGTTAACAATAATTAAGAACAGATTAAGATTATAAAGTTTGTACTGATACAAAAACTTTTGGAAAACCCAGGCTACTTATTGTTTACAAATTTTGTTTAAAAATAACTCACCATAGGCACCATAGGTTCAAAAATCATAAAAATTGTCAGTAAATTCATTTTAGCACAAAATGAATAACTGAAGGAAACTGAATATGGTACAAATTATCCCAACACTGACCACCAATAGAGCACTTACACTACTAAGCTGTTCCAGCATAGCCTAAAGCTAGATTGGATTATTATCTATCTAAATTATGATAAGAATTTGCTCAATTCAGTGTTGACATAAGATCTACTATCAACCATGGTTAATTAGCCTGTTGATAACACCTAGAACTAGCTTTGCACTAACCTAGCTTAGCATTGTAATTTAAACACCTAATGCCCTGTGAGATTAGAAATTTAATTTGTAGTATTTTAAGTGGAGAGTTAGAACGTTTAAGTGGAGAGTTAGAATGTTTAAGTGGAGAGGTAGAACGTTTAAGTGGAGAGTTAGATCGTCTTCGAAGTTTTACGCCATGTAAGATACAACTTAGAGTCAGTGGTACTGACAAGAAAAAACTCATCACTACCATAAGCTGTTCCAGCATAGCCTAAAGCTAGATTGGATTATTATCTATCTAAATTATGATAATTTACCATAATGGTACCATAATAATGGGGGAGCGAGCTGGTCTAGTGTTTAAAGCGCGGGACTTCGGTCCCTGGGGTCCAGGCTTAAAATCCTGCCAAATCACCAATGGCTTTTGTCTAAGTGATAATGCTACAACCAGGGCCGGCTAGAGGGTGGGGCAGGGGGGCCAGAGCCCCGAGGCCCAGTCAGATGTAAATTTTTTCTGTACATGTAATCTGCTTGAGTTATAAATTTTAGCATGGTTTTCCAGTTTACAAAGTAATTTTTGACTTGAATTGTTTTCACTGTGAATAAAGCTGCAACTGTGAGCAAACATTTTAGTGTTTGTGTAACAAAACGGCACTGATACGGCTGGACACAAAATCAAGAAAACAGGGGGCCCGGGATCGCTGAGCTCAGGGGCCCGTGACGGCTCTCGCCGGCCCTGGCTGCAACACCTAGGTCTAGCCTGAGGTAAGGTGAAAAACAGTCCCAGGCTCGTGTCTAGCGTCCTAGGACAAAGACTTTATTTTTGATAGGACTGATTGTAGGCCTATCTGTGATTTTTGGGAACTTGAAATGAAAATCTGTTACTTTCCAGCGACCTTGTAGAATCAGTGACTTTTACGTGATTTCAGCAACTGGTAGACACCCTGTCAACCAATTACGCATATCCAGAATCTCACCTTCATCTTGAACCCTGAGTAGTGTCCTAGGGCAGGAGGGTTCCATGATACGATGGCTGACTTTCCTCCTCTCACAGTGATGGAGAGGTTGGCAGCAGGATCAGGTGCTGCAACATGACAGAGCAAATACATCGGACAGTCATAAACTCTATGTAACACGTACTCCAGTAATTTTTATAGCAATAGATTAGATGTTTACAATGCCAACACATAAGGGGTCCGTATTTTAAATAGGGAATGGGTGAAGAATGAGTGTCGAAAAAATGAGCTTTGTTACTGACTAAGATCAGCTGAGTCTTTTGTTAGCTTAATAAAAATGCATTGATCAAGGAGAACAGGGTTCAGTTTTTAACGATTAAAACACTTTACACTTAATAAAAACTTTACATCTTTGTAAGTAAACTAAAAGGTTGAAAAAAAAGGTAAAAGATACCTTTCAGAGGTCTACACCGAAAAAACTTAAGTACTTAGACAGCTGGGAGTACTAAAAGAGCTTTAGGGGAACTGCTACAACAAGACAAATCAGGTTTTAAACCCCTCTATATTTGATATAACAATTAATAAGCTTGGTAAAGTAACAGTAGTCTAATGAAAAAATCATAAAAACAACATTTTACTCCATTTTACAAAATTCAGGAATTGCATGACAGCTTGATATTTTTGTTAGCATTTGCATTTTGTAGCTTGTAGAATAGACTAACCAACACCAGTCTACTTGACTTCTCATCCAATTGAAAGCTTTTAAGCTCTTTTAACACTAATCGCTAGCATCAAAAAAATTTTGTTTCTATTATTTTAGGGTTAATTTTATTATTTGTGCTTTACAGTTTGGTTGTATAGCCAAAAGGGCCGAGTTATTGTTTATGATTACATAATTTTATTTGGTTATACAAGGTTTTAAATTACTGAATTAACAAGAAACAAATTGTAACCAAAACTTGGCCCCTACAGTGCACAGGACGGAACTAACAATAAAATAGCTTATATGGGAAATTCGCTAAGAACTATAGTGAATTATTTAGAGGATACAAAAACACAAAAATAGTAAACACATGAAAACAAAAACATAATTTAGCGTAGTCTGCAAGGTCAGCAGTATTTGTAGCATAAGCAGCACCAGTGATGCTGTCACCACAGTATAGTCTCAGCGAAGGCTGCCGACACAGCAAACAACAGCACAACAACGGCAAACAAGCTCAACTAATTGAACATGTATGAGACAAAGGAATCTGAACATAACTGAGGTGAAACCCAACAGTTAAAATACCCAACATTTCAGCAGATTTTTAACTTTTGACAACTGTCATATCCTAATATAAGGTTGGATATATTTTGACGGATTAATTGTTTCCGGTGTCTATTTAAGTTGTTTGTTTCACTGTTTACTTATAGTCTGCCTATTAGCTTCACAATTGCAAAGTCATCGGAATAATCTCTCGTATTTTGGCTATAACCAGTGCTTCTCTGGCATAACAAGTTTTAGGTTAGGGGCGCAAGAAGAGAAAAATCCCCCGTCCCCCCTGAGGAAGGGCACAATTATTTTTTGGCATGTGTGGCTCATGCAAACCACGGGCCTGGCTAAAACTAGCAAGATAGAAAACTAATACTATAAACCACCATGGTTCATTCAGCTCTCTAATTAACTATAGTCTCTAAGAAAAAAATATACTGGCTACATATACTTATAGCTTTCACCTTTGAGGAAGATTACCCTGAAAATGAACTAAAAAGTAGTAAGTTTAATAAAATAGCTATTTTCTTATATTCTCAAACCATAAATGAACACAATCTTTCATGAGGAAACTCACACAAAATAAACTTAACTAAAGCAAAGTAAGAATAATCGATCATTTACTTTGGAACACATTCATTTTCTTTCAGAAATTAAAGAAATCAAATAAATGTATTTATGAGACAAACATTTTTATTGTTTACTTTATCACAATAGCAGTTCTAGGGACTGTATTATGATAAACTTTCAGTGTTTCATGAATATTTTCGCCTTCAAGTGTAGAGCAATGGTGTATGTTGACAATTACAAGTTGATAAACCCATCTCAACAAGTGATGCCATGTGATGTGACATTTCTCACATATTGTTTGCAATGATACAGCACGGTTTCAAGGCCATCATCCAAAAACAGCAGGTGCATCATTTAATCACAATTTGTCTATCAGAACATCTAGCTGCATGTTTACAAGTGATTATACCGGTAAAACATAAGATAAGCTGGTAAAATATGATTTTTCATGGGTCCTGAATAAAATTATTAAATCATTTGAATGACGAATTATCATTACATTGACGTCATTTGATGTGTTGCCAATTGACAAATGAACGTCCTATATAGGTGAATGAGAATGACTCACAAGTGCATCCTTGCAATTACAAAACGGAACTGCCCAGGTATAATGTTTAACATTTTAAACCTTTATATATATTTTATTATGTTGTTAAGCTTTTTACAATGGGATATACACCACTAAGTCATTCTATAGTGACTTTGCCAAAGCTACATTATAATACACTCAACATTCTTCCTGCATTCATCTTAAAAATATGAAATGAAAAATCTGTATCTATTTGAAATATTTGTATAATGTACATTTTTAGAAAAATTATTAGAAAAGCACACACGTACCTGCCACTACTCAAAGACACAGAGCCCTAGGACATGCCAGCCGAGACCATCTTGTGCCACCACAAGTTTGGAATATTTTCAAGGGTTTTAATGTGCAGGGATAGGCCATTCTACAGACGGCAAGTGATAACATGTGGCAAATCTGACTAGCTTCTGCCTTATATTCTACCCCATTTTACAACTAAAAATCGTAATATTTCAGCTATTTCTTATTCGATATTTTAACTTGGTATTGTTTGATAGGGAATTAAAAATTCTAAATAAAAGTTTTCTAGACCTTTTTTCAAAAAATCAGCCATTTCTGAGCAATTTAAGCTTAAAAAATTAAAATGGCTGCCATTTTGAAATTTTAGGTTGAATCAGGATGATTATTTTTCCTAACATGGGTCTACCTTGACATAAATACCAAGATTCATAAAGATCGGTTAAAAAAATTCAAAGATAAATATTTTTATGTAAAAATACAAAATGGCTGATATCTGATTAACAAAGCGAATTTGGAAGAAATGTTATTCTTAATTTTCTCTTTATTTTGACTCAAGGAATAAGTAGCCTACAAAAATTATGTCTCCACCTTTTTCGAACACCCTGTATAATCAAAATGCCACTGGCGTAGATACTACCAAAGCATAACGCACCTGTTGTAATGGAGGCAGTCCAAGTGAGCCAATCATGCAATGAGCTGTTGGAATAGTAGAGCCAGAACTCGTACTTGGTGCCAGGCAGACCCTTGCTGAACTGTATGACGTCCCCGATGTCCCGCGAGGGTATGGTGGTGTTGGGCGGAGGGACACCATGGGGCGGAGAGTAGTCCAGACGGTAGGAGCTGTTATCTTGACTGAGGTTACCTGGTATACGTATAACCAGGTCGGCACCTTGGCTCAGCTGAAACAAACAAAAGATTCATAAGAAAATAGTATAGTGAGTGCAAGATTTATCAAGCACTTTAAATTGTTGAGAATATGTATAGACCCCGTGCTTTGAACGTTACTTTTCGCTACACTACAAAGACTAATTATTTTCTCAATTAAAACAGACAAAGGATATTTCTTTACTACAGTTAGGAACAATACAAAACTCATAGCATTTTAGGTAATGCCTTAAATTAAAAGTTAATATTTACTTTGGCTGTACCGTTTTGGTAGTTGAAAATTGATATAGTTGACAAAATAATAACAAATGTTTGTTTATTGACGTCGGCAAAATAAAAAAAAAATTGTAAACATTACTTTTGCAGAGTAAACTTTCTTTTTCCCTAGTTAGCTATGTAATGATGAATTTTCGCAGGTGATATACATGTAATGAAAGCAGGTCGTTTCACAGTAGTAAAGTGAAAAAGAATTTTTTTACTATCATCATTATCATTATAATTATCAATTGAGATGACGACAATTAACTAGGTTGCGTATTTTAACCCGAATATGAGCGAATGGAGTGAGGTGATCGGTGTAGCTTTGTTACTGACTAAGATCAGCTGTTCCTACTCAGGACCATTTATTTAAAGCCCAATGATCAGGGACAGCTGAAAAAATTCCAATCACACGTTTTAATTACAGCAGGTTGAAATAGAGAAGTTTGCACAATACATACTTTTGGTCGAGTTTTTGTCCACTGGACGAGCTTTAGTTTCACATAACTCAATGTTATGACTCACATTATAAGAAAATATATTCACATTTTATGTATGTGTAATTGTTTGAGTTTAGAGCAGCATGCATGAAAAGCATTGACGATTTATACTTGTACACATGTTAAAAATTGTTAAAATCACACGTGTTTTGAACAATAAACACGATGATTTCCACAAATTGCAGTGAGACGTCAACTAACATGATAATTACATGACAAACAGTCATGGGAAAAGCCTCCTAATTCCCTCAGTTGTATTGTTCTATTTGTCTGGTTCTGTAGTATTTGGTTGTAAAAGCCAACTCAAGGTCGTAACAAAATACGTAAAATATTCATTTGGATCTGTTCATTTTGAACCATGGTTTTAAATATTTCAAAAAATAATGAAAGTATCTGTATAGCTTAAAATGAAAATCAGCATTTTCCTGCGCTGTCATTAATCTAGTTCGATTTAAGCACCATTGTTTTATTTTTAATTTTAGACGTAAATGATTGACATGACTATGTTTGATTTCAACAAACAGAAATACTATGCTAGTTTATAAAACTCTCATCTTTAATAGACATACTTATTTCCATAATTTTATTGATAGATAAAAATTACAAAAATTTATGATTCGTTATTAACTTCAATTTAGCTTGGTTACTATTTTACAATTCAAAGCCATTGTATCCAACAAGGACACAATCACATAAACTATAAGTCAGCCATATAAAGGCAGTAACTGGTGTTCACTAGTATGAATTACGACCCAAGCTTTACTACAAACAGTAAAAGTCAATTGAAACTATAGTAACAGTAGGTGATATAATGCATATTACTTCTGTAATGGGTAAAACCTTAAGTATTAAGAAAACTTTGAAAACTACACAATGTCTTCTACTCACAGAATATAACATAGCAAGAGTAGGATTTGGTGTTCCCTTATAAATAAATGTGAAATGGTAAATGGTAAAATAAATACAAGAATATGAAAATTGAATAAAAATGGTTCTTGAAATAGGGAAAGTAACCTATTTTATTTTGTGTCAGTTTTGAATCCAAAAGGGGTTATAAACAAGAATAAATTTTTGAAATTTGTTACAAAAACTATGGAAAAGTACTAATGCATGGCAAATGACATATTTAGCGTTTTAGGATCTCTTAGGAACAAAGGTAATAGTGTTTTTTTATTGAAACATGTGCCACTAGTTCCTATAACTTATCACCATATATTTATGGTTGGCTGGGCAACTGAGTGGTTTTAGTGGTCGCCTAATAATCAAAAGGTCGCCGGTTCGATCCTGAGAAGAAAGAAAGAATTTATATGTATTCCATTCAGCTCATCCTTAAACAAACCCTTAAGAAAGACATTACCGAACTCAAAATTTAAACTAAGTTTTAAAACAAGGAATAGCGCTTTTAACATAATTAAAAAAAGAACAAATCCGAGACCCAACCCCCCAAATGTATATAAGAAATCGGGAATTTACAAATTATCATGTAACAACTGTGAAAAGTATTATATTGGTCAAACAGGTGGAACATTCGAAGTCAGATACAAAGAACATATACAGGCAATAAGATCAAACAACATGACAACACAAAAATCCTCATACGCCGAACATATACTTCAGACCGACCATACATACTCAGAAATGAATAAAAATATGCACATTCTGGATGTTGAAAATAAAGGTGAAAAAATGAATGCAAAACAAGACTTTTATATTTATACTCATCATATTAATGACAAAGACAATTTACTAAACTTGACACAAATTCAAAATCAAAACGTAATATTCAATGAAATTATAAATCTTAAAGAAAACACCTCCTTCCCTTAACATAAAAATTATCACCTGTTCTTTAACAAGAAATGTCTAATAATGTTTGTAAATAAAAGAAACTAATAGGTTATATACTATACTGTGATCATGGCATTAATGTCCGAAACATGTAAGTAATATAAAATAAAATGTTTTTAGGGTACTGTGGTACGGTATTTTGATTTACTTAGTAACATTTAAAGTAGCCCTCATTGATGTATACAATAACAAAATATATATATTTAAATATATAGATATATAAAAATTTGAACGGATGGTGTTTTTGGCCTCTGGGAACATCAAAATGAAAAACTAAATCGGTCCCGGGCTTAGGTCTTACCATGAGAAATTCGTCATAGGGAAATTCGCTAAAACCCTGTCACGTTTTAATATATATGACTACAACAACAACTAATGCAGTTTTTAAAGTAAAATGCATATATTCTGTATGCATTATCTACCATTATGTATATCTACCATTTCAACAAACGATGAAAACACACGATGAAAACGACGTCTCAATAGAAGGAGGAGATTAAAATCATTGCATCATCGAGGGTAGAATGAGGGATGAAAAGGGATACCGTAGTATATTTCATTGGGATATTTGGATAAATAGGAGATTGGAAACATTAAATGATGAGGGTTAAAAGTTAGGGAGGGCTATAGTGCGAAATTTGAGATCGTACCAGGATTTCTGAATAGAGGGAGAAAGTCAGAATCAATGAGTAATCTAGGGTAGGAGGGGTAAAGTGGGATATTTTTATTATCTAAATGGGATATATGGGTTAGAAGTTAGGAAACACTGGATGATACAAGGGTAGAAAGAGGGATAAAGTGGGATATTTTACATGTAAGTGGGATAAATGAACAGAAGAAGTTAGGAACCATTGAATGATCAAGGGTAGAAGGAGTGATAAAGTGGGATATTTTGCGTATAAATGGGATATATGGATAGAATTTAGGAAACACTGGATGATCAAGGGTAGAAATAGGGAGAAATTGGGATATTTTACGTCTAAGTGGGATAGTATGGATTAAAGAAGTTCGGAAACACGGAAACATTGAATGTACGTGGGTACAAAGAGGGATAAAGTGGGATATTTTACATCGAATTGGGATATCCGAATAGAAGGAAGAGGTCAGAACCACAGGTCACAGAGTGTTCACGGACAGCGTCGGCGACGAGAAACGGACAAAGAAACTGTGCTCTCTACACTCAAGGCCACTCACGAACACGAACACGCGTGTCTCGCCGCAACACGAACACGGTAGAGCACAGTAGTACAGGAGATCAAGAGGTACAACCAGAATTGTATATGGATGTCTTGTTTAGCTGAGAAACACTTCAGCACGCGATAACTTATTCTCGTCTTGGGGAGTGTTCTGATAATATGATAATATATTATAACGATCCAGTATTTTTTACTTTTCCCCCTATACTGTATGTAGGAGAAAGTATTGTTTTCGTCACAAATTTTCGAGATTGAGTTTTGAGGGGAATATTGGTTACGGGCACCCTAAACTTCGTAAAATAACGGAAAATATAATTTTTACAAAAAAGACCCAAACGATTTTGATTACGAATTAGTATGTTATAGCCCTTTAAAAAACGGTACAACACCAATTACTGTAAAAATTACTGTTAAAAAAATATTGGTACTTGTGATTTTTTCATTAAAAACCCATAAAATGAAAGGAAAAATGGATTTTCGAACAAATACGACTCGGCCGGTTAGATTTAATTTAGTATATATTGTGGTCCTCACAGTTCTAAAAAAAAGTGTTACGACCCCCATTCCTCTAAAAATTACGGTTTAAAATTGATTTTAACTTTAGTGATTTTATCCACAAAATAACGGAGAAATGGATTGTCGAAAAAATACGGCTCGACAGGTTTGATTAAATTTAGTATGTAAATCGTGAATGAGATGATCGTGTGATTGAGTGTGTTTCTCTGTCTGTAAATTTAGTATTATGGTGCTCATATTAAAAAAAAAAAACTGCACCCATTGCTATAGGTATAAACTACGGTTTAAAATGTATTACAACTTTTTGATTTTCCCCATCAAATATTATATTTACCCCTACCTCACCTAATAATAAAGGTTGTTGAAAAGCTAATGGGAGAAAGTATGTACCAGATTGATGATACCGTGTTTTATTCTTTTTATTTACATTGAGTACTCTATGAATGGAAACCTTATAAATATGATATGATTATCGAGTGATTAGTCAAAAGGTTCCATTAAAAATACCGATAGTTTTGGTTTGATATTGCGATTGATTCGGATACAAATTTTTCCCTAAGGAAAAGAAAGCAGATCCAACGAAGTACGTAGTATTTCCAATCATTATTGATAGCAGTAATCTCATATAACGATAAAATACAACTCCGTACACACTGCCACTGATAAATCGCAACAATGTGTTGTATCTCGTTCAAT